TTAGGTATTAGGGCCCTAGGTCCATTAAGGCCAGGCTTGAGTCCAACAAGGCAAGGCCTAGGACCTCATTGCCCATGGCCGGTTCCCCGGCTGCCATGGCCAAGTCACTAGCTCCCCAATAGTGCATGTCTATTAGGAAAATGAAATTAGGTTATCCGTTTCAACGACGGAAAATAATTTCCAGTTTATTTTCAAATTTCAACCGCGGAAAATATTGCCATTTTCTTGGAAATATTTTTCATAAAAATAAACGAAGTCTTAGTAATGAAATGTTTTAACTTTTAATCCATTGATTACTAATGACACAAGAAAGAGTTTATTGAAAATAAGGATATTTCTTTTTTAGTTGTTAACAAGAAAATCCAACCAAAAACAAAAAAAAAAAAGTGACAAGACCATCCAAACGGCGTAGCTAGTTCCTTGCTCTTGCATTTACAAGTGAACACTGAATCAGATGGAACGGTGGCACTACCATAACTTCTTGCGTTAGTTGGACGCTCCAAAAAGGCCACGTAGAATTGTGGGACCACTAGGAAGCTTTTAAAAATTTTAGCAATGATCCTACAAAATTTTATCCAATACCTTTCGTTTGTCTCTCAACTTTCTAATCAATTTTCAGTTCCATTCTTAGGGAAACTCCAAACCTACAATGAGGAATATTGGTATAATGCACATTAATAAAAACCATGTATTTATTTTAATATTTAAAATTTTAAGTGAATTGGCGGTGATTCTATAAAATTAGACAACGTCAGAATGATCAATTTCATAAAAAACTGACATGATTCTTGTAAGTGATAAATTAAATTTCAAATAGATAACTTTGTCAGTAAAAGGGAGTGCGCTTACCGATCATGTTCCTTAATTAAGGACTAGCATACACGCATGCTCGATGCATGTATGAAATTTAAGAAGATAGACGCCGTAAGTAAATGGTGATGGAAGCTAGTAGTGACAGAGAGAATATAATTTATTTAATTGTAGAAAGAGATAGAGCTTTCACTGTTATTGAAAGCACAAATTGCACGATTTTTGCACGTAAATCTAATTATCTTTTATTCGAATTTTAAGGAATGAGATTTCTATGAAATTATCAACATTAACCAAAAGTTTTAGACTGAATAACTTAGAGAAATAAAACTAATGAAGACAACATGTTGTTATGTAGAAATCATCATCAGATTTTATTTATGTTAATTAATTTTTTTTACAAGTAATTGAGGTTACTTTGGAAAGATAAAATAAAATCCTATTTAAATATTATAACATGCAAGTAAAGGGAATGCTACACATTTGGGAAGTAAAGGGAATGCTACCCATTTGGGAGAGTTCTACTAGTGCCCAATAGGTGGATTAAGTGAAAGAAATTGACATAAATGACTAAAAATAAAGATTCTCCGCTCAACGGTGATGATTGCAACTTATTCATAAACTTAAGTTCTCGGCAAATATTTCCCTTTCTAAAAGTAGATTACTAATCTCCCCAAGATAAAATTTGGTTTATATGGAAATAATAAGGGAAAAGACTGCTCGGACCCCGGTCCCTCTCAGCAATTATATTAGTGTGTATTACATCCATATGCACAGTAAGACATGTTTAGACATCATCTATTGAATACATAATGTGGAGTCAAAGAGCCATAGTTAGATAATGCGTGTAAAATTACATTAGCAAATTATTTCATGAAAATGACGTGACAAATTATCCAAGTAGATATTTAAATAAATAAGGTCATGTATGTTCAAAAACCAAAAAAAAAATCCGACATATTAATCTATACATGTTGAGTCTTTTATGTCTCCAAAGATTGTTGAGTTGTGCACTAGATAACAAGAGGATAATGGAACTAATGAAAAATGGCGAGATATTTTCATTGGTTGGAGATTATTACCAAGAAAAGAGTGCCCATAAATAAATTAAATTAACCTAAAGTATCTTCCATACGAGAAATTCAAGAGAATTCTAGCTCAAATAATAAATGGCCAAGTAAGAGAAATGAGAAGATATTATCTTTCTTCCCATAAAAGACAATTCTAAAAATCTTTCATGAATTACTTGTGTAGAGAAAACACTAAGAGGGAAGACTGGGGTTCACTTGATTTATGAACAGCACCTATACAATAGGGCATTGAAACAAAAGCCAAGAATTAATTGATAATCAATAGTTGAAGACCATTTTAAGAGACAGAGATCTAACTCGTGGCGTAGTATTGCGGGATCTTGTTCCTATGTATTACCATTTCATAGGCAATCTACTTATCCCATGTAGAAGAATGATAGAAGCCGGAAGTAATATATGAAAAAAATTATAATTTATTAGAGAAAAATAAAGCTTCTATTATTATTAGAAAATGATATTAGCCTGCACATATAAATTGCACGATTTTAGCACGTAAATTTTATTATCCGTCACTCATTTATAATGAATGTGATTTTTATCAAACTATTAAAATTAATCAAGAGTTTCACATATATAAAAATTAAGGAAGTTGACAGGGAGTTATGCAGAGTTCATAATTTGGTTATGTTTATCATTAGACAATAATTAACATATATAATTTGTCCATGGATACAACAATTGAATAATAAATACTATCAATATATTTTTGAAAGAAAAAATATTGAAATTCCTTAAAGTGAGATGTCATCTTTCTTTTATAATATAATATGATGAGAAAAGTATAGGACGCATAGCATTAGCATCTATGCACAAACTTATTAAGTTTTTTAAAGGAGATAGAGCTTTTAATGTCATTGAAAAATGGCATTAGCGACTACGCACAAATTGCCGGTTTTAGCACGTAAATCTAATTACCTTTTATTCTATCATTAAGGAATGAGTACTTTTTGTCAAATTAGATCACGAGTAAAAAATTACATGACAAAATTTTTTCGTCAAAGTGATGCGACTAATCCAAATCGATATTCAAATAAATAAGGTTGTGTCATGTACGTTCAAAAACTAAATAAAAATCCGACACATCAATTTATACACGGTGAGTTTTTAATTTTTTATGTCCCCGGCATTGTCCGAGTTGTCCACTAAATAATGGTCTAAACAAAGACTGCCTTGAAGGATATTGCTTCACCGGACAAAGGTCTCCAATCAACTATTTGAGGAAATACCTTCTTTCTAATTAAAACGCCGACTAAGATCAAAGAAAGTAGCGGACGAGGTAAGATCACTCACTTTCTTCCCCAAGTCACTCCCTCAAAAGAATTCTCTCACCAAATGCTCTTCCTTTTGTGAAAAGCTTAAAAGTTTTGTCTAGGTTCAATTTCTTTGGAAAGCGATTATTCTCCTGGCCTATGAGGAAATCAAATGGATGAACTAATGAAAATGACGAGATGAATTTCATTGGTCGGAGATTATTACCGAGAAGAGAGCTAACACCCAATTATAGATCAAATTGCTCTAAAGTAGTCTTCTATTATGAGGAATCCAAGAGAAATCTAGGTCAGATAATAAATGGCCTTGCAAGAAAAATGAAAAGAATATCATCTTTCTTATCAAAAAGGACAATTCTCCAGACCTTGCATGAATTACTTGTGTAGAAAAAACACTGAGAGGGAAGACTCTGGTGCACTTGATTCATGGACAGTGTACCACACAACAGGGCATTGAAACAAAATCCAAGAATCCATTAATAGTTAACAGTTGAGGACCATTTCAAGGGATAGAGATATAACTCACGGGGCAATATTCCAGGATCTCCTTCCTACTTATTACTATTTCATAGGGCACTACTCCTCGATGATGGAAGCCACTAGTAACCTAGAAGAAATTATAATTTATCAAATTATAGGAAAAATGGGGCTTTTGCTGTATTTAAACAATAAGATTAGTGTGCACACGCAAGTTGCACAATTTTAGCACGCAAGTTGCACGACTTTAGCATGTAAGTTGCAATTTTCGGCGAAACTTAGCCGGAATGATTACATTGAAATTTCACATAAAGATTTAGCATTATATTGACAAAATTGAAAAGTTTGGGACTGAATTGACATTTGCACGCTAGATTTATGACTAATTGGAAAATTTCTCCGTCATTGATTCTATTTCGTTATATAATGGTTCAAATCTTTTGCCCTAAAATGGTGCTCTTTAATCTTTCAAATGCCCATTTCTGGCATACATGTAAATGCGTGTCCACATGTTGTCAGAGTAGATTAAATTAATCTAGCATCTCCCATTATGAGGGATTTAAAGAGCAACCTTGCTCATATATTCAATGGTGAGAAAAAAGAGAAGATATTCTCTTTCTTGCAGAAAAAGACAAGTCCCCAAATCCTGCATGAATGACTTGTGTAGAAAAAACACTGAGACGGAAGACCGTGGTGCAGATGATTTATGTACAGTGTATTGTACAGCACAACAGGTCGTTGAAACAAAACCCAAGAATTATTTATTAATTTATTAATTGATAATCAAAGACTGCTTTATAATAAGGGATAGAGATATAGCTCCTGGGCAATTCGCTGGATCTCCTTCCTATTTATTAGCACTTCATAGGAAACCTACACCTCCCATATATGAAGGCATTGACACTTGTTTGGGCATCATCACCATCCTTATCGATCCTCATCCATCCCCTCTCTCTCTCTCCATTTGTATAAAATGGCGAGAAGGTGGTGACAAGTGAAGAGAAAACTTGGAAGGTTTCTCTTGTGTAGTGTCTCTAGCTCCCACACAGAGAGTGTTTGTACATAAAAAAACTCCGTCTGCAGCTTCATCTTCATCTTCAACCTCAACCTCATTATCTCCTAGGCTGGAGAGAGTGGGAGAGATGGGAAAGGGACGAGCACCATGTTGCGACAAGAGCCAAGTGAAGAGAGGTCCATGGAGTCCAGCTGAGGACTCAAGGCTCATCTCTTTCATCCAGAAGTATGGCCATGAAAACTGGCGTGCTCTTCCTAAACAAGCAGGTTGACTCTCTCTCCCCCTCTCTCTCTCTGAAAGTAACGTAATGATTTGTCTTTGTTTTTATCTTAATGATGGATTTTTGCCGAGAATAGCTTCCCAGTTTCAAATCATTGCTCACTCACCATGATGTAATCATGTTCGAGTTTCTCGATTAATTAGATTTCCATATATTGATGATTTTTTTCCATAACAATACAAAGTCGCTATCTTGCAGTACTTTGATTATAGATAGCTAATTTCGGCATATTATCTACAAGAAATGATCATTTTGGGTGTTAATAATCTCATTTAGCCCAGCCTGAGTCCGTAGGATTTAACATTTGAAGTTTCGCATGATCAGCTTGTTACCGGAGGAATGCTGGTTTGAGACGCATCTGCCAACTTAAGGATAGTTTTTGTGGGTCCATCTTTTACTTTTTTTTTAGACTAATCAAGTTTATATAAACCATTCAACCCAAAAATAAAAAAAATAAAAAAGGGGTTATTTAGTGGGCCTGATTCCTCCCAACACAAGTCTTTGAAATTTGATACCCACAATATAGAAATTAAAAAAAAAAGGGAGAGAGAGACCTGCTTTTGAGCGTAATCTTATTCATATACAACCACAATCCTTTGGTAAATCTCATTGCTGGCCTGCACATATGAGAGGAATTCAAGACTGTACATGCAGTGGAAGCCATGCAGTTCTTTTAAGGACCCCTTTTCCCCCATGCAATTTGCACCAGTTCTTCAAGCATCTTCTTTCCATCAAGAGTTCTTCAGGTTCTTCAGAAATTTGTGTTATTAGTTCAGAATATAGCATCTTCTCTTTATCGCAATTCTTCTCTCTCTCTCTCTCTCTCTCTCTCTCTCTCTCTCTCTCTCTCTCTCTCTCTCTTTCTGGGTGGTGGGAGGTCTATTTTTGCTACACCGGGATGGAATGGCAGTCGCACACGGGAAAAATGTGATTAGCCAAGATTATTTAGGAACGGACAAACACTAATCAGCTGACAATAGATGCCTTTATTGCACTGGTCTTCCCACTTGTTCTTTGGTTTTATGGGGAAATTTAGCAAATGGTCCTTTGTTTACCTACCTAAGTAACGCAGATTCATTTAGTCAACCGGGATATCTTTATTTTCCTTAAGGAGAGTAGCAGTTATCCAAAAAATAAAATAAAAATAAAAATGGAGAAGAACAGTGTTAACTTTGAATAGCATGAACCTGCATGTACTTTGCAATTGCTATCAGTATATGACTTAATACATAAACAACAGAGGGTTCTAGAATCGCATGACGTTTTGAAAAGCATGCCCTGCGTTATTGCTATAAAGAAAGTGTACTCGTGTTTGACATGTTGGTGTGAACAAGAGTAAACGGGATGCAATATAATAAGCTTAGAAGATTTGACATCATGAAAATTAACCGGCCATTTTATCTCCCTAAGATCGCGACAAGCCATCGCAAATGTTAAATTAGTTTCCTGAGATGTATTTTATAAGTGTGGTGTCTGGAAAAATTGTAGAGATATGTTGCAGAGACAGTAAGAGAGTTCGAGACAACTTAAATTTGTCTTGTGGGATATAATTTCTCGTGTTGGATGCATCAGGACTGTTGCGATGCGGGAAAAGTTGTCGACTGAGGTGGATTAACTACCTGCGGCCAGACGTGAAGCGAGGGAATTTCACGAAAGAGGAAGAGGACACTATCGTTCAATTACACCACTTGCTGGGAAACAAGTAATCTTCAAATTATGCATTTGTAATCTCATTAATAAGTAGTTAGATTAGGTACAGCTTAATCTTTTACTGTATATTTTGTTGTGACTCCTTATGTTTGTGAATGATCGAATGGGCAGATGGTCTAAAATTGCATCACATTTGCCTGGAAGGACTGACAATGAGATCAAGAATGTGTGGAACACTCATTTGAAGAAGCGTTTGGCCGGTAAGGGCCTTGACCGGTCGAAGCACGAATCCTCCATTAGCTCCTCGTCCTCGTCTTCCTCTGCGTCTTCGCTCGTGTCCCATGCCTGCGTTGACAGGAATGCGCCGGTGGACCTCGAACACTCAATGGGTCAAGGTCCTCTGGATGTGAAATCTTGTGGTCAGGATGGCGTGGTGCCGCCGCCACTCCCCGATGACGCTCAAGAAGTCCAAGAGAAATTAGCCCAACGCATGCCCGATAACAAGGACTCCAAAGATCAGTCGTTCACCTTTTCCGGCTCCAATGAACCGGCTTGTCTGAAGGACTCTGTTCGAGTGGATAGTCCGATCGCGGAAGAGCAGATGGATTCGTTCTTCAGCTTCAACAGCCCTTACGATGCGCGAGGCGCATTGGAGCTGGAAGAAGTGAACAAACCAGATAATAACAATAACGAGTTGGGCAACTTCACAATAGACATCCCGTTCGAGTGCGATGACGAATTTTGGAACATGTTGGATAGCTTGGAACCGTGCTCGGTCCACAAAGCTGACGCCGGACAGGACGGCCCGAGGCCCGGAGAAGGGGTTTCTGCAGAGGACGAGAACCTGAGCTGGCTGCAGTACCTGGAGAACGAGCTCGGGCTCGAGGCGACAAAGGAAAGAGGAGACCAAGAAAATTCAAGAACCAGCTCCGTCACCACAAGTCCGTCAGACGTAGCGGTGCCGATGAAGGCATGTTGTCAAGGTTAGGAGTAGAATTTGGAAGCAGCCGCAAAAGCGTCGCTTTTGATGTCAAGAATTGACCCCGGTTAAATCCGCAAGCTAGGACACACGGTGTTTAGATCCGTGTCCTTTTCAAAAGTAGGTAGAGGGTGGCGAGGTCAAGAATTTGACAAAACGCTATCTACTCTGCTGTTCAATTTCAAATGTGAAAAAACTGAGTTACGTGCGCCTCTGTAGCATGTCATCGAGTCTGATTTGCTGTTCAACGAGAAGCATGTTGCTCCATCACCTAACTCATTATATGTCTCTTGTCCCGTCGGTGCTGGTTGGTGGTACTTTTCGCGTTCCCACCTTTTGAAACTTGCTTAGGCCAATAGCCAAAAAGGAATTAAGGGAAGGAGCGACGCCTGCCTCCGATAGTTTCTGCTCCAGAGTCATCGTGGCGTAGCACGAATTTTAGTCGCGACTTTTAGTGACAAATCAATGGCAATTAGTCATTGTAGACGTGGAAAATTCAGAGCTGGCTAGTCGAACACACCGGGCGCACACCATGCATGCATCCAGAAAAGATGAGGAAAAAGGTGAGAAATGGAGGGAATATGATGGGGTTGGGTCCCCATCTCACTCAATGTCAATCGCACAAAATCTAGAAAGAGTTAAAGATCATTTGAAAAAAAAATTATGACGCAGCGAATGTAACATGTATCGTTCCTCTTGGACTTGAGAAAATATTCAGTAGTTACAAAACATCACATCAATCGGTAACGTTCATATTCAATAATAATTCAACTTGTGTCAGCTGAGGCGGAAAAGCAAAACACTGATTTTCTTTCTTTCTTCCTTCCTCTATGGATATGCTTATGCTCCTTGGCGGCCGATGCTTCCTCCTCCATCACAGAGCACTACCCCATCCGGCCAACATCACCATCCCTTCCGGCGTCACTAGCTGTCAACCCAAGCTACTCCTCAGCGTTGACATTATTACTCTCTATCCTCCATCCGCCTGCATCTCCACCCCTTCCCGGTCCAACCGTGCTACCTCTTCATGGCCGCCGGCACCAAACGAACCGTTGTCACTCGTGGCCATGGCTCTAGATCGGGAAGCATCGGCCATGGACGAGTAAGGATGACGGAGGGTGCTAGGCTTGGACATAGCAGTGTCAGCTTGGATTGGAGAAAAATGTCAAAAAAGTCATAAACCTTTTGCATTTGTGCCAATTTAGTCCTAAATCTTTTTTTGGTGCCAATTCGGTCCTAAACCTTTTACATTGATGCCAATTTAGTCATAAACCTTTTCTTGGTGTCAATTCAGTCCTAAACCTTTTACATTAGTGCCAATTCAGTCCTAAACCTTTTGTATTTGTGCCAATTCAGTTCTAAACATTTTGTATTGGTGCTAATTCGGTCTTTCGACACGTGAATAGCTATTGGCCCCAACCGTCCAATTACACTTAATAACTCACACAATATTTAACCCCATAATTGCTCACGATATAATCTCTTAATCTCATAAAGAAATTCACAAATCTTGCCACTATATTTATTAGCTCCAATACTCTCAAATTACTTCAGGGTGTAATTTACAAGAAATCGCTTCTTGGATACTTGTCACTACGAAGACACTTCTTTTATATATATAAGAGTTAGATCCAAACGGAAAACTTCCTTTTAGGAAACCTAGTCAAATTAGGATAGTAATCAAACTTGGAAACCTCTTCAAATTAGAAAACCTACTTAAATTAAGGAAGTTTTCTTTTCGGATTTATGAGACATATTTTCAATAGTTATGATTTTTTATTTAAATGTTGTCGTTCAGATAAAATTGAAACATTAGAACTATTTGAAGCATAACATACCTATATATCATTTAGTTTTGCTTCTTTCTTTTGGAATCCACTTATTTTAAATATAGATCATATCCTTCAGGCCATCCTAGTCACAGAAAAATAAAAAAAAATTGAATGAAAATGATATTTAGAGATATGGGAATAAGAAAATCATCCAAAAACTCTAGGGAAAAAAGTGAAGTAAATTTGTGGAGAAGGGTAATAGCATTCAAGTCGACAAACAATCACCAATGATATACATGTAAAAGTCACTGGACTAATACATAACAAAGGTGCGACCAAACATAAAAAAAAAAAAAATACATAACAAAGGAGAATGAATATCTGTAAGTATATGCTTTATAACGTGGTTTCGTGAAGCACGGGCCATGTAACTAGGCACAACTACGTTCAGTCGATATTTCCGCATCTATTAGTAGTAAATATGATTTCGAGGGTTGAACATTTTAATCTCTGATTTTGCTAACTATACTCGCATTAGGATATAAATTAACCTTCTTGAAGTGTAGAGTAAGGAAAGAGCAGTCACTAGGTTGAATTGAGACGGCCAAATATCAAGTCTCGAGTGGGCCGATGTCCTCTTATCCATCATCGACGGAAGAAGATGGACTTCAGCTAAAGCCTAAAGAACAATACAAATTAGCCTTGCAACACACAGAATGATTCGATGAATCAAATTTTTGCTTTTGGGTAAAAAAATCTGACCTTTTTTTTTGCTTCATAGATCCATTGCAACGTCCTAGCTTTGATGACTCTGAAATTGTCTAATTGAAATTTGCTTAGAATGTTTAATATATACTTTTAGTACAAATAATAAGGTTAGCCAGTAACAGACTCGTAGAAATCTAAAATCAGGATATTTAGCTCGTGTCTCATTTTTTAGAAATTTCATTTTTCATCAAAATTAGTCGTGTTAGAAGTGAGGATGTTGAAGTATTGATTTTATCGCAAATTAGAGAAGAACTACCTAAGAGCCAAACCCACCCCAGTCCGAACACATCTGAGTGTATCTTCTAATCATTCGGAATCGATGGAAGCCCAAATTTATAGTATAAACATTGAAAAACATGTCAATCTTTTTTTTTTCTCTCGTAATTAACACGAGAATTAGTTATTTTTAGTACGAAAAAATATTCGATAGTTATCGAATCTTCCGCTCTTCCATTTTCCCCCTCCTCATCCTCGTCTTTTGACTAGGGGTGATCGGATTCCAAGCAATTTGATTTCCACTCAGGAACTAGGAATCAGACCACCTGTTCCTGAAATTGGACCAGATTTTTCGGGTGGGCTAATGAAACTAGTGGCATATTCTATCTTTTTTTTTAAGTATGTAGTCTATACTTCATTGCGAAATCTTTATGAGAATGGTGTTAAATCCATGTGAATTTGTATGGGCTAATAGAAAATGCATATTCGACAAAAAAAAAAATAATAAGAAGATGCATACCGCCCATTGTGAGGGTAATCAAATCAACATTGATCTCGATGCTTCACAATGAGCTCATAGATAAAAGAAGGGATAATGACACAAATAATCCTTGAATTTTTAATTTGTTTAATATAGTCCATGAACTTTAACCCAATGTTCAATGTGGTCCCTAAACTTTCAATTTGTTCAATGTAATCCATGAACTTTTGGTATATGTTTAATTTAGTCCCTGAACTATATGAAAATGTATAATATAGTCTCTGCACTTGCATTAATGGAAAGATTACATTGAACATCTTTATAAAGTTCAGGGACTAGATTAAACATGTACCAAAAGTTCAGAGACCATATTGAACCATGGATTAAAGTTCAAGGACTACATTGAACAAATTAAAAGTTCAGAAATCAAATTGCATATTGAGCTAAAGTTTAGGGATTATTTGTGTCATTTTCCCATAAAAGAAAGTAACATAATGCATAGAAATAGACAAGATATAGTCCCATATAAAAGCATTAATTTGGAAGAAATTAAAAAAAAAAAGAGGGTCCAGTCCGAGTAATGCGGATAGGCGATTCCACACATGAAAATTGGAAACTGGATAAAAAATCGCTAATTTCAATTTTCGGAATTCCGGATTGGTGCCCTTGAAAAACGGCCAGAACCATCCGGTCCGGTCCGGTCCGGACCGTTCCCGGTCCGAATCCTGTTGCCCACCTCTGCTTTTGCCCATTCGGTTCTTCTCTATACGTTCGCGAGTCCCTCTGCCTCCCAGACAGAGCCCCGCGTTTCTCCGTGTCTACCTGCGATCATCGGAATGGAGTGGATGGACATGGCGAGCAGCTGCTTGATGGACGAGGAAGAAGCGGAGGAGAGGAGCAGAGTGTTCGCGGAGCTGAAACCTTACTGCTTGGACCTGCTCGACCTGGTCCAGCGCCCCAAGAAGCATTCCCCTGCTCTCTCCGCCCTCCTCCGCTTCCTCCGCCGCTCGCCCCCCGACTCTCTCCATCCCTTCTTCGAGTACGTGCCCCCCCAGCTTCCCCTCTCTTCCTCCCGACCCTATCTTCGGTTTCAGCGGATGCCGCTGCGCTTTGCTCTGGTACCGCAATTTGTCCGAGGCGAATCCCGTCTCCGAGTCCCGGCCTTTACGTTCGGTCTCCGATCGTCGACTCTAGCTAGTAATGTCGTTCGGGTCTTCGAAGTTCGTGCTGGTGCTATTCGTTGAATCATAATGTCGTTCTGCTAGTTTTGTCTCTGATCGTCTCACATTGTCGTTGTTCATTTCCGTGGCGACGACGAGTAGTAAAATTGTGGAGGAATTAGGATGAATTTAGGGTGTAGCTGCTGGCTTATGAGATGATTATTAGGTGGAGAACATGTGAGCAATCGTTCTGTTCGACATTTCGATGCACACGGGAAATACTTCATCCAAAATGATGAAGGAGGAGGAAAAAATACACATAGAAAGAGTACCATTTAGCTGAAGTGTTTCATACCTGATTAAAGAGGCTGAAACTGGAACGTCTGTAGTTTCCCAACTGTTTTCGACAGTAGCTCGGATGCCTGTTGTGTCTTGCTCACGTTTCTCGCTTTTCCCCTGGCTCGGGAGATGGGTCTTTGCCTGGTCTGCAGTTCTTTTGACCTGACCGTTTTCTTGCATCCAGTTATACTTTGTTTCCGCTGCTGCTTCTGTTAGATGTGGCAGTTGACGGCCGAACCCAACGCAAGATTGATCCCGAAGAACATGAGGTTCCATCTCATAAACCCCATAGGGTGAGTGATATAGTGGCAGAAGCTGTGCTCCAGTGTTTGGAGGAACTTCTGAAGAAATGTTACTTAGGATCTGTCGATCAGGTGATTCTGCTTTTCTTTTTTACCTTTTCATATTGTCTATTCTCTGTATCTCCTTTTTGTTCCCGTGCACTTTGTGGCAATTTTTAGTGACAATCGAACTTCTATATACCGTATAACTGATGAATAAGCCTGCATGTGATGCTCTTCAAACTCTTCGTACAGTGTGCACTGCTGGTGCTAATGAGTGCTTCCAAGCCTCGCAGAATCTAAATGGTCATTGCAATGATTTGTTTATAGCTCAACTCAGTGAAACTGGTCATGCTACACTGCTGTGTAGTTGTTGTTAGGTTAGGACTATTTGTTGGTAGCAGGGAGGCACTGCTGTAGCCTTTGAAGGCGATGAGATAACATCTTTGAGATCTTTCCCTCTAAAAGTTTATATGAGTATGATTATTACTAAGATTTCTTGGTCTAAGGCATTATGAGAATATCATCATGGGAATAAGTTTGTTCCTTGGGATGCTCATTACTTCCCTTCCCTAAAATCTATGACTCATAGGTTGATTTTTCAATGGATTGGTTGTGTGTCACCTCCAAATTTGGGGCTAGGGATGATGCTGGGTGTCAGGTCGCATATCCACTTCATAGTTCATAGGCATCCTGAATGATACCTGCAAGTCAAATCATTGTTAGATGTACTACAAAAAGCCTTAATACTTGTGTGTCAGATTCCTTAACCCATTTCTATTTGTTGGAATATGATCCATTCTTCTTGCAGATGGTTGTGATACTAAAGAAATTGACTTATGGAGCTTTGATTTCTCCCTCTTTGGCTTCTGAAGAGTTCCGCGAAGGAATTATCAAGTGTTTTAGGGCGCTTCTTTTGAATTTGTCACCATGCTCTGATAGTTCTTGCTCATGTAAACAAATTACGGGGTTGCCTGCTCTTTTAGTTGGTGATGATATGCTTACTCACCCTGTTAGACGTTCAAGACAAAACTTGGGAGGGGAATGTTTACTTGCATTTCTTCAGACTCAGACTGCATCTGCTGCTATTGGACACTGGTTATCACTTCTTCATGAAGTATGTAAAGTTTTGTCAGGCACTTCCTTGTTGCACTTCAAGCAAATTCATATGGAATTAATATTGGTGTTTATGCAAAGGCTGCAGATTTTGAGGCAACGCGCGGGCATCGAGGAAGTGCAAAGCTTCGAATAGAAGCCTTTTTGACACTACGGGTTCTTGTTGCTAAGGTAATTCTACAAGGTATAGGGTTTCAGATAGAGGTGGCAATTCCTGACATGACACCAGCACATGATTCTAGAAGTAAGTAATTTAGTTAGAGAAACCAAAACTTGACACGACTTTACTCAAAATTGACATGAAATGGCACATTCTTATAGAACTGAATATAGGAATTCTACATAATCTATGACCTTAAAATCGGTTGACAGTAAAGGTGTTTCACTTTCAGAAAATTTCAACAGTATCAGAGTTGATGAGCTGAGAAGAGTATAAAAGGGCGCTGTGGTTCAAAGAATAAATTCTTGCTGCTTGAAGGTTTTTGTCAACAGTTCAATGACACGTCTATGTATATTGTAGATGTTGCAAATGCCTTCTTCCCATTGATCCTGTAATTTGTGGACAAAAGAAGTGCCTTTTCTTTTTATGATGAATCAAGTTCATCCCCCAAATTGCTCTTGTCAATTTTGTCTCTGACCGGTTCAGATCTCTCTTGTGGCAAGAAAATATTGATGAGAGTTTTTTTGATGGAATTGGTTACAGGTTGGCACTTCTGATGCATTAGCTTTCTTTTTGCCTGGTGTTGTTAGTAAATTCATTAAAGTTTTGGGTTTCGCAAGAACAATGTCAAGTGGTGCTGCTGGCAATATTGAAGCGATCGATCAATCAATTAGAGGATTGGCTGAGTTTCTGATGATTGTTCTTGAGGATGATGCTAACTCGCTTTGCTTGGAGATGTCCTTGGATAGTAAGATGAATTCAGAGATTTATAATTCGACAGATTCCTTCCTCAAGGAACTTCGCAGGTTACCTGTCAGAGATCAAGGTCATGAAGAATTATCAGATGTTAAGGTTGAAAGTAAGAAAACTGTAGATGCAATCCAGGAGCAGAAGAATGCTGGATCTAGCAAGGGGTTGCAAACTTTGACAGTGAATCGGACAAAAGAATGGGTTGAGGAAACTTCAGCCAATGTTCATAAACTGCTTAGTACTACTTTTCCACATGTATGTGCCTTCAATTTTATGTGTTATGAGATTATCCAAGGAAAATGAGAATGTACTTGGCCTTTCTTAAAGCTACTTTATAATCTCAATGATCTTATTTTGTACTTTTTGATATTTGATTGGTTGCTAAGCCTCTTACATGTTTTTTCAGATTTGTGTTCATCCAGCAAAAAGGTTGAGAAGAGGACTTCTTGCTGCTATAGAAGGAATTCTTACCAAGTGCAACAACACACTAAAAGACAGTAAATTGCTGCTTCTGGTGAGAGGTCGCCTCTTCTTTTTTCCTAGAAGAAATAATAATTTGAAGCAAATTGGTATGCTTGTATGGGTTTGCAGTTTATTTATTTTTTTGCTGTGTGAGAATTCATGGATCTCCTTCTCCATTCTGGGAGCGTGAAAAAACCCTGAGGCTCAGCCCCCTCCATTGTGCTTCATTTGCTTTATAGAAGTGAACACATTTTAAAGCCAAGTGTACCATGTCTGTGATTGGTTGACTTGTTATCTTCATGTGAGTTTTCTGGTTAATCTTATTCAGAATTAGATTCTGCAGTCTCACAGTTAAATGTGCTCGTGTTTTCCCTTTAACTGTTGACTGCACCTTCATTTTGTTGTTCAAGGATGCTCTCTTCAGGATTAAGGATTATTAGTTCCTGTTGTGATCCTCACTTTTCTTTCTTTGGTAATTTGAAGAATTTCAACCTAACATCACTTTTTATTTCATCTAAGGAATTAACTGCAAGTTTTCCTTGACATTAAGCCTGTGTCAAGTGGGTGACCTTCTTTGACATCTAAATTTTTAACATCTTGAAGGAGACCTATATCTTTCATCTCCATCATTCCATACTAGATACCTAATTTGTAGTGTCATTCATGATGTTAATAAAAGCTCCAAAGACAGTATTACAGGGGAGATTTCTGTTGATTTTTTAAAGTATTCGTGAAAAAGTTGGTATCGACAAAAAATAACAAGGCTTCTTCTCAAGTCATAATTACTTTGCTAAGAAAATAAAAGCCTGGTTGTAAAGTCACTGTCAATATGCTTCTGGGAGTCACTTATTTTCTTATAACTTATATGACTTCATAGTTCTTGACAATTAAATTCTAATCCGTATATTCATCGAGTATGCTGGTTCAGTCTGTTTTGAAAATAGTTTTCTTTTTCTCTCTTAATCATGCCAAACCACATGCTATCTACAAACTGTGAATATCATTTCTCCTTTCGAATGATTGTGCGAGTAAAATGTTAAGTCTGTTGCTTCTTTTGCCTGGCATCATAACCTTTTTGGCTTCTGTTATGCATTGAAACTTAAAATGGCTATGCCTCTGACTTGAAGTTAATGCTATTCCCCTAATGCAGGAATGTCTATGTGTCTTGGTTGTTGATGATTCTGAAGAGATTTCTGCATCTGCCCAGGAATTTCTCAGATATTTATTTTCTTTCGGCAGGATAGAGACTGTAGAACGTGATATTGCTGAAATGCTAAGCAGGTTTGAGCTTGACCATGGTTACGAGATAGGTTTTGTTTACTGCTTCTGCTTGAGAGGTTGAACTAAAACTTGTTTGGAGCAGGCTTATAGAGAAACTTCCGAAAATGGTGCTTGAAGATGAGGAGTCTTTTGCACTATCAAGTGCTCAGCAGCTGCTTGTTGTCATGTATTTTTCTGGTCCTCGCCTTGTTGTGGATCGGCTACTCCATTCTCCTGTATGTACGGCATATCATTCATTAGTTTATTGTCATTATAAGCTTACTTGGTACTCACCGGTAGATTGATGTGGAAATTAAATATGCTTAATTTTATCACCCCCATTATAATGGAAATATGATTAAAAGTTTGCTTTGCCCTCTCCCTTCAGTATTGTGTCCAATTTTTTCTCACTGGAGCAGTGACTATGTGATAAGAGTCTTAACAGCTTTGTGTGTATGTACCTTTTTGGCGATGAATTCATCTTCCTTTTCCTCCCCTTTCTGAAATTTAATTGATTTAGTTATGCTTTTAGCTCAACCATCATGTATCATTGTTTAATCATTGAAAGTCCTTTTGTACCTTCACATATCATCTATCAGTAATTTCACATTCGTTTGACAACTACTTGCATTTTCTTCATCTATATTAAGCTTTTGGATGCCAGTGATTACTTATGCTACGCTTTTAGGGGATTCTATTTCCTATACAGCTGTTTGTACCTGGCTGATGTTGGAGCTGACTTAGAATTGCCATTGCTTTCGTAGACATGTTAAGTAAGTTATCAAAAGAATCAAAGTCTAGTTGACAACTCTGTTGTGCTTTCCTCTCCATTGACATTCTTTTGATTTTGACAGGATATAAAATCCTTGGGTAATTTATACTGCAAGATTTTCATCTGTAGAGCTTCTTGATCATAGATATTAATCCTGCTTCTCCTGTGATGCATATAGGTAACAGCTGCACGGTTTTTTGATGTCCTTGCAATGTGTCTTGGTCAGCATTCAGTATTCGCTGGTTCTCTAGAAAAGCTTGTGCTGGCTAGATCATCTTCCATGGGATACATCCGCTCTGTTGCAGAGTTGAATTCCCAATCTCATTTCACCAGAGACCACCAGAGTGCCTTTACTGATGCTCAGCGTGAAGGTGCTCAGGTGAAAGAAATAGGATATCTTCAAGAAAACATTGAGAAGAGTAGCGAGCTTCCACGAATGCCCCCTTGGTTTGTGAATGTTGGTAGTCAGAAACTATACCAGACCCTTGCGCAAATTGTTAGACTCGTAGGTTTATCTTTATTGGCAGGTCATTCCTATGCTCAGATATTGTTTTCTGCAATTTCCCTCCATCATTCAGGCAATTCTATGCTTACCATTGTTACCACTCTTTATGATTGTTTGTAGATTCAAGATGTGAAGGCCATTTGTCGGCAATTGCTGATATTCCACTTGGATACTTGCGAAAATTGGTTTCTGAGATTCGGATTAGAGACTATAATAAAGAGAGCTGGCAGTCTTGGTATTATAGAACTGGTTCGGGACAGTTACTGCGGCAGGCAAGCACTGCAGTTTGTATTCTAAATGAGATGATATTTGGATTATCAGATAAGGCCTTTGAAAAGTTTGAGCAGATGTTCCATAAATCTACTTTAAGTCGAGATGAACTTCAGAAGCTCAACTCTGGTCTTGATGATCGTCATTCTCCCACATGTCCATCTACATGGAATCTCACACTTGAGAATAGCAATGAGAGTCAACTGATCGATTGCATTGGTAGAATCTTACATGAATATGTAAGTCCTGAAGTGTGGAATTTTTCACTTGGACAAGAATCCTCACATGTGGAATCTGACGGCAAAGATGAAGATTTTCCTGTGCACTTTCTCCATGATGCTGCCATGTTACGTCAGGAAAGTTCAGCTTTTCCAAATTAAATGTGCTTGTAAAAGCTAAATAATGTTTATACAGCAGAAATAATTAATATTATTTTGTTCTCTTCCTCTCGACCAGGTGATTATTGAGGGGATTGGCATTTTTAACATGTGCCTTGGCAAACATTTTGCTTTCAGCGGCTTTATGCATTCATCTCTCTATTTGTTGCTTGAGAATCTTGTTTCTCCAAACTTCCATGTCAGAGCAGCTGCTGATACCGTTTTGCATGTCATTTCTAAAACATCAGGCTATCTATCGGTGAGTGCTGATGTGAACTCTTATTTTGTTATACTAGTAAAGGGTTCATAAGGATGTTGTGGTAATTTGCAGGTTGGCCAACTAGTTTTGGAGAATGCAGATTATGTGATAGACTCCATATGTCAGCAATTACGTCATTTGGATCTCAACCCTCAAGTGCCTAGTGTGCTTGCTGCTATGCTTTCTTACATTGGTGTAGCTGAGAAGATGTTGCCATTGTTGGAAGAACCGGTATAACTATGCTTTATATTCGGTTTTACTTAGAGCAAATTAACTTTCAAAAACCTTTTCTTTGAAGCATAGCTGTTACAAAGTTTAGCGTAGTTCACCTTTGTAACATATCTTGTGACTATTCACTTTAAGGCCTCTTCATCAGTATTGTACTTGTATCATAAGTTGGTCGCCTTTCTACATTCTGTTCTTGTAGCGATTTCTTCTCTGGTAGTTGAGGATCTTGTAATGTTCTCTCTATGCTAATTCGCTGCCAATTTTGCAAATTTACAGATGCGGTCTGTTTCACTCGAACTTGAGATACTTGGGAGGTATCAACATCCAGATTTGACAATTCCCTTTCTAAAGGTATATCCAATATCAATACTAGCTGCATCTTTACCACTCAGGCCTCATTAATCAGCACCTTTTAGTATGCAATGACTTGGAACTTGCTGTGCTTCTCCATGGCTTTAAGAAACACAAAAGAAAGAGGGAGACATGTGCACTTCTGGGCAATAACTATGTCTAAGAAGATATATTGAGTTGTGAAAGACCAGAGCGAACTAGGAATTTAAAGTTACTTGGCTCCCTCATTAGTTGGCATCATCGGCTTCTTCCCTTAACTTCATCCTGCTCAATCTAGACTTGAGTCTAGATTTGTTGGTAACCTGCGCTCCGATACCAATGTTGGGCAGTCTTTGGCCTCTCTCACCCCAAAAGCTAGCTCAAAGGGCGAGGCTTTCCATCACACTTATAATTTGATCACCGGCCCCTTCCACAACCGATGTGGAATAACCCTAACAGATGGACCGATGCTGGACTTAGAATGATGTTTTAGTTGTTACAGAGCTTTACTATGCTGTTCTTTTTAGCTGAATTTTCCATGAATTCTCTTTAAAGTACAATGCTTTCAGCATGTTTTAGTCGTAGACTTGATGGCAATAAAAAACCAATATTTGTCTCTGTCGACATGGAAAGATGAATTTACACATTTTAGTTTCCCTGACCTAGAGTCAGTTTGAATGCTAGACTCTGGATAATTATCTCTTCAAATGTGAATTATAGTTATTGTGATTGCATGGTAATTGCTTAACAAACTTTTGTTCATTATGCATATCTGAAAATCATTCAATAGGAAGCTGAATGATGATCTTATTATTTATATCTAATATTCTGTGTTCTTCAGGCTGTGGCAGAGATTGCAAAATCATTGAAGCGGGAAGCATTTTTGTTGCCCAATGAAGCTGAGTCTTTCCTTCAGCATGTGAAGGTGAAAATTTCAGAAAAGGAGCAGGGATTGAGGACAGAGTCAGGTCAGTCTTCAATGTTGCATCACGAGGAAAGAGCGTCCTACTGCACTTGATCAGGCAATTCTTACGTAATAGTATGTTATTGCCTTGTTTGTAGAGTCGTAGTTTATGTCAAAACTACTATAGATCTTGGTACAATTTTGGAGGAGCACAAGGCTACTGCTTCCCATTGCACTTAGCTTTAAATGAACCTCACAGTCCACTGTACTTCCTCACAATCGTTAATTTGTTTAGAATCAAAGGTTCCTTTTCCTAGTCAATTGTTTTCAACCACCATGTTGGTATCATTTATTTCTTTCAGAATAGAGTAAACTTTTCCATTCTTTATTAGATGCAATGTTAGTTTGTTGCTGACAATATTACAAGTATCGATTTGCAGTTCTTGTATCATCATATTTTAGATGTGAAGCGAGAAGTATGCATGTAGATTAGATTGGACACGTATTTTCCCTCTCAAAAGCTGTTTCTTCTATGTAACTATTTGTCCAGATGGCTGTCAGGAGGGGCAAGAGCTGCACAATTGGCAGTTTTTGAAATCAATCCTTTTATCAAGTAGTCATTCCAATAGTGTCATGTGGTTCTTAGGGTTGTTCCTCTCAGATATTTCCAATACTCTGCCGTTGATCTTTCTTTGCATCTTTTCTACTCTTTTTGCAGCGAAGAACATTGAGATAGAGTTATTGAGCTTAATGATGCACTTAGCACCAAATGTCAACTTTCAATTGATATAGACGTTTTTGGATTTTTTTTTTTTGACATTTGGGTTGTGTTTTTTTCAATGATTTGGATGTCATCTAGAGATTTCTGTTAGGACACAGTGACAAAGTGGTAATATTGAAATAACGTCAAGAGCTGAACGATTTTCGTGAGCTCGTGATGCAAATGAGATTATGTAGTTAAAATTAAATGTACTTCCAAGTTTAATGACTAAGAAAGATACTACCCAATTTAATTGCTTATTACTACTTTGCATAGAATTCTTTGACTGTGCGCTCTATATGTATGTAAGATATGCATGATTTATGTCATCTCCACGTATATAATTTTTATTTTATTTTTGGCCAAAATATAATTTATCCTATTTCGGTGCCTAACTAATTCTGAATTTTTTTCCCTTTCGTTTGACTTGACGAAAACAGATGTAGCTGGTCGTCTTCTAGTTTGGTGCCTAACTAATTCTGAATTTTTCTCCCTCTTGTTTGACTTGACGAAAACAGATGTAGCTGGTTGTCATTTTGATGATAGTAGTGTGCACGAAGAGTTGGAGGAAATCACATTCAAATTGAACAGTTCCAAGAGGTATAGACGAACAATTGGATCAATTACCGCTTCGTGTTTAGTGACTGCAACCCCTTTGCTTGCCTCATCAAAGCAACCAATGTGCTTGGTGGCATTGGATATCCTCGAGGTACTTTGGGCTAGATGCCTGAGTCATTTTATCTTGTACATTGTGCTGTTGTCTGTCAGTAGACAAGTCAATTGTTAATGCTTTTTAGTAGTTGGAATAATGTATGAATAGGAGTTGTTATGGGTAGGAATGAAAGTAGGAGCTGGAGCAGTCTCTGAAAACAATGAGAATAGGAGCGGTCAAAATCCCATCTTGGAGGCCACACTCGTGATAGATTTTTTTCTACAAGAATACCATTTTGCAAAGAGTCCTAATGCGTGCTCATGTTTCTTTTGAAGGATGGGATATTGGCTTTGGCGAATGTCGAAGCAGCCTACAGGCATGAGACTCAAGCAAAAGAAGCAATCGAAGAATTTATCGAATTATGTTTGCTATATCAGCTTCAAGATTCATTGGATGCTGCTGACCAACAAACAGATGAGAATAGGCTACTTCCAGCAATGAATAAAATATGGCCTTTTTTCGTAGTTTGTGTTCAAAACAGTAACCCAGCGGTGTGTGTTAATTTTACAGTTTTACTTTTTCTCTCCCTACGGCATGTGATGGTTGAAGTACAATGATTTAAATAAAGAAAAGCATGCCAACTTTCAGAGCTATTTTATGGGTGACATTCGAGTTCTTTTTTTGTCAGGTTGTCAGGAGATGTTTAGCTGCAGTGAGTTCTTCGGTGCAGATCTGTGGAGGAGATTTCTTCTCCCGCCGGTTCCACACCAATGGTGGCCACTTCTGGAGACTACTGACCGCCTCTCCGTTTCACACCAAGCACGATGTCAGAAAAGAAAGGATCCCATTACAGCTTCCTTACAGGAGCGTGGTTCCATCTCCCAACGAGCCAATGGCTGAAGTTTCCACCCTCAAAGTTCAAGCAGCAGTTCTTAACATGATTTCTGAATTATCCCAAAATAAGAAGAGTGCATCGGCATTGGTAGTAGTGCTGAAGAAGGTCACTGGTCTGGTTGTGGGCATTGCCTGTAGCGGAATTGCCGGCCTTCAAGATGCTGCTCTAAATGCCTTACGAGGACTGGCATCCATAGACCCTGATCTTGTATGGCTTCTTCTGGCTGACGTTTACTACTCTGTGCAGAAGAAAGACATACCTTTGCCGCCTACTTCTGAGTTACCGGAGATCAATCAAGTGTTGCCCATGCCTTCTTCTCCAAAAGAATACCTATATGTTCAGTATGGAGGGCAGACGTACGGTTTTGAGATTAATGTTTCTGCTGTAGGAGTAATGTTCAGGAAACTAAATACTCTCGTTTTCTCCAACCAAATGTACAGCTAGATCAGAATCACTCTTTGCTGTCTTACTGATATGCATCAAGGTGGTTTTTTCTCTCTTGTGCCGGGGTGGATATTTCTAGGTGAGGTATTGCAAATTCTCCGTAAATGCCAAAGCTATTGCAGGATTCAGCAGTTCCTCCAGATATACTTTCAAGCAGACAACTAGTATGCTTCCTAGAGAAATTGTCAATTGAGCGAACTCTACCAGCCCTGTCATCTTAGCCCCGTTGCCTAATCGTCAACCTCTTACTATCACATCAACCTCAAACGACATATTTCGTCGATGAAAGGAAGGTCTTTAGCAATATCCGCAGAGAAAAAGAACGAGCCCCCAGCCAAGTGTTACATGTCTCACTCGACAACGTCTTTTCCCTTGAACCTCATTCAATACGCAAAGGGCTTGAATTAGCTTTGTCTAGGCAGCAGAGGGCGCTACCCGCTAAGTGTCGCTCATTCATTGGTTTTTGCATAATCCATTACCCGGTAAAATTATCTCCCACTCATATCTCTCCCTCTCTCTCTCCTCTTGGTCATCATCCGAGCAACTCGGACGATCACCTCTCCCACAGCCACCGTCATTGCCCATCGCTGCCTCTCACCATTGTTGCCTTGGCTCAGCTGCCAATACTCGCTACTGTCACCAGCGACTTCTCTCTCACAGCCGTGAACTACATGCCGAAACAGATCTGCACAACAGAGTTCCATCTCAACACCTTGCCATGCCGTGGCCTCCAATCCACCGTAACCCACTTGCCCAGCACAACGAAGTCACCTTCACCAACTGCCTCCACGAGTGGGTGGCATTGATGTGATCGACCCACATTGGCAGGCTATCACCACCATCAATCCCAAGAAAAGTCAGACCCCGCTGTGGCCAAGACAGGGATCAACCACAAGCGCACCTTGGAGCTCGTCCGGGTAACCAATCTTAGGCTCAAGGTTGAGCTTTATTTCTATGATGTAGCCGCCGAGCACGCAATATTCAATGTGGGGGAGAGAGAGAGAGGGAAACAATCTCGGTGATTGATTGTGTTATATTACCGCTCATTTTCTAAATATGTACTTCATTAGTAAAAAAACAACCAACTCAATATGATATCACTTTTGAGCAAAAATGTGACATCTAAATTAATGCCTTTGTACCCAGCAAACACAAACGCACGGGGAGGGGACGGGAGGGGAGGGGGTGCGGAATTTCATGGTTGCCATTGCGTCGAACATTCTACATAAAAGGCATCAGCCCTGACAATCGTCCAAATGATGGAGCATCAAGAGAGATCACTTATGACACGTTCACATTTGTCCTCCAAGATCTTCACTGCCTCGGTAAACAAAACTTCTGGAGGTAATGCTCCGGTCGATTCGATGGTAACTAAAAACAGGCAAAAGAGAATTAATTAAGACTGTACTTGTTGCAGGATTCTATCTTAGCTCTAATGATGTGTGCATGCACCTCATTGGTTATTACTTACATATAAAATGATCCTTAACTCGGCGTAAGGATACACTCTTCTCCCACTCTTCACCATCTCTGATGCATTCTCGACAAAGTGTGCAAGCTCGTGGTCTGGCAACAGTTGCTCTTTTTCTACCTGAACAACAACATAACTATCACTCAAGAAAATCCAACGAAAAGAAAACAGGAGAGATCAAACCCTGACTAAAAAACAGTATGAAATCCAAAATATAGCCAAATCATTGCGAACTACATCTAGATGGCATTTCTCGGGATGGACGACCCATTGACTGTTTCTCCCATCAAAGCAGCTGAAGAAAGGGCAACTTACCATCAGCAAGATCTTCAATCTCAAACACATTAGCAGGGCATTTTTGCTTAAGTACTTCAGCCTTCTTGCCCTTAATTTCTTCCATCAATACAACCTATACGAGCATGAACAAGATATTGAATAACATGTTTGACAAATATATGCTTATGTACAAGGCTGCTACACCGAAAGAAATTAAGTTGGGCAAGAGACATGCCTCTGGAAGCATTCTGTACCAACAAGTGGCAACAGGAGACCACTTTGCATGTGTTTTCCCAACACCCTTAACGGCATGTGCTTCCAGTTCAATTTCCTGCAGATGACACCATTCAAAATATTTACATGATTTTACAAAAAGTTGATCAATGACAAGTTTGATCACCACTCTCTTTAATTGCTTTAAATATTTCCTTGAACAAGATGCACAAGAAGCTTCTAAAAAGCAGAAAGCATCTATTTGAGAAAGTGAATCAAATTAGCTGGAAATAACCACGAAAAAAATAAAGGGCTCCCCATAACATTCTCAGATCACAAAGTGTCATGTCACCTGTCCAACTAGGAATTGCATCAACTAAATTGGACAATTCAACAATACTTCAGCTATATTTTTTAAATTACTAGTAAGCCAAGCACTGCACCATGGACAGAAAAGGTCTTCCAGTTTCATGAATCGAGGAGCCATCTTGCCATCAGAACTAAAGCAGACTATTTTTCGAAGAAACAGATAGCTCCCGGATTGACTTTGTTGAATAAACCTTTCAATTCTCACCAGAAAAGGAAAATAGAACTGATAAGAGCTCTTTCTTTGGATGGGATGACTGCCAGAAACAAGGATGCTCTTGCTGAACCACCGGAAAGTGAAAGAATCATAGGAGTTTGCTGATAATTTGCTGCTAATTCATTTCTCTAGCCATGCAATACACTGATACATAATAGTTGGGGCAACAATTTTCACCACGGCATTCCATAGCCGCAGCAATGCTTAGCCACACTAGTGCTAGGAATTTAGCATTACCCTCTGGAGTTAAGACTCCTACATGCAGTGAAAACCCCCTTATTCTTTAGGAGAGCAAATTCAAACTGATCCCCTTGCTTTCCCCTCTCAACTATAAATTTCTAACCCATAAAGCACGTTTCCGGCCACCCAAAAAAAAAAAAAAAAACCAAGCACATAATTGTTCCAAGTTAAAAACATCATTAGTACAGACTCCTATGGCTCAGAAGCAGAATGCATAGAGCAAGATGTAATGCTTTTATTAATGCTGTTGAAGAGTATCTTACTAGACTAAACAATGGTAAGAAGAGATAACTAATTATGACAAGTACATGATATATAAGACCATCACCTGGCCAAAACCAAGTTTAGCAATGATGATATCAGGATACACGCTAATTGGATTGCCTGCAAATTCTGGCTTGGAGTCCTGACTGCAAGTAAACAAAGTGTAGGTTTCTGGTTTTGAAGTCGAAGTCAAACTTTCAGATGTCTTCAAAAACTCACTCCCCTTTGGAAGCCACTTTAAATCATTTGATGTCACTGTACATACACCAAAAATCATTACAATGAGAGATGAGAGAAAACTGAGCAATTTGAAATACTTTCAAGAAATAACGAATTGATAATATTGATAGAAATAACTTACCTGTGAGACGCTGCCCACGTTCTTCACAGCGGACATGGAGCTTGAAAACTATAGTGTTCTTCTCATTTGGTGTATCATTCTCTATAGGTTATAAGTGAAAGTGGTACATCAACAATAAGAAAACTCACAAGGTGCCACCATACATTGATTCTTCAAAACGACAAAGAAGTTGAACAGGCATGCATGCAAAGCCCAACCTGATAAATAATCGAAAAGCCTTGGGTCAACCTTGATGGGAATGAGACCCAAGCGATGAGCAAGAACTTCATCTTGCACCACTGATGTATTATTTGCAATAAGAACCTTTTCAATGGCCATGGTGGGAAGCTGCATGAGCAAACATGGACACATCGGGAGATTCGATTAATTCCAATCAATCAGATAAGCCACTTGCAAAACAAACCTAAACTAAGGTTCAAAACAACAAAAGCAAACTTCGAACCAATAAAATCTTGAAAGATAAAAAAAACAGAAGAATTCTCTTTCAGTTGGACTGTCGATGGCTCTTCACAGCTAAAAGAAGTACAGACATTTGTTAATACGACAACAAAAATAACAAACTGCAAAAGAACTTTTGCCTATGTAGCAGTGAAGAGCATAAAGCGACACAACTATCACCAAAAGAAAATCCCTTAGAACGTGCTGAAGCGTCTATCCTATGGCAAGTGACGGGAGAGACAGTAGATTTAATAACTGAAATAATAGAAGTTATAGCGACACGTGAATGTACTGGTTTAGTAACTTGAAAGAGACAAAGTCACAAATCAACAGGAATGCGTTCCGAATTCGAAGCGAAACACAGATAAACGGAAGTGCATCGCCCTTGGCTTACTCCTTCCTTAGTGAAACAAAGTTTGTTCTTTTTTTTGGTCGAAAATTGCAAAACAAAGTTTTTTTTTTAGGCGGCACATATATGAACAGGTACAGCACGTATATGAACTGGACCTCTGAAGTCGTTACCGATTATCGAAACTAGAGGAGCCAAAAGCACCCGGAATCTACCAAACAGTTGTCTGAGGGAGGGAAACGAGTACACCCAAGGAGAAAGAGCAAGGACTTTTAGGAATGGGAAATTATGAAGGAAGAAAGAAATAAAGAAAGGAAAAAAGATGGGGGGGCACCTCGGCCAAGAGGATCCTCCGGAATGCATTGGCAATGGAAGGATTGATGCCGACCATATCAAACTCCATATCGTCATGGCTAATTCTGCGGACATCGACCCTGAAGTTGTTGCAGAAGTCATCCAACCTCAAGCTATTATCGACGCCGAGAGACGCGTAAGCTCCAGAGTATTGGATAGTATCTGTCTACACAGCAGCAGCAGCATCTCTAGAAAATTAATAAGCAGAAAGATGCGGAGCAAAACCAACCTCCCTCAACTTAACAATTCGATTCGATTACTGACGAGGAAAAGAGAATCAATGAACGAAGATACGGACGCAGCAAGAGAGAGAGAGAGAAGAAGATGAAGAGGAGGAGGAGTACGTTGTGAGGAGCATCGAGGTTACAGAGAACGCGAGTCTTGCGAAGCTCGAGGTGTGGGGGCAGCTTCGTGGAGGGAACGTCGGATCCCTCTGTTGTTTCCGCCATCGCCTCTCAGTCGGAAGAGGAGGAGGAGGAGGAGACGAGAGAGAGAGAGAGAGAGAGAGAGAGGGTTTAGGGTTTTAACACTTCACTCGCGCCCAAAAACCGGTTAACAACACTCATAAAAAGCCGCTTTTCCCCACGACCAAATATGTATATTTAATTTACCAAGATCGGATTTAGCGGCACGTTCAGTAAAGTTGCTTTATTTCCTTTTTATTGTGTTATTCAGCCCCCATACAAATTCATCCGAAAGGAGTTCCTGAGTAAGAGGCTAAACTGCTTCTATATGAGATTTCATGTAGATCTCAACATCCCTCGAATATAAAATATCAAAAGCGTATTTCTTACTCCCGAAAATGATAAAGATATAGGGAGAATTAGGAGATGGGCGTGTGGGTACTGATACGTTAAAATAAAGAACACAGTTCTATTAATCCGCTAAATATATACATATAGACAAGCAGGACGGCCCTGATCGGAGCTTCGGCTCCTGCTCCGTGGTGAGGATAATCCTTAGCCACCAAGGATCCACGAAGTACCCCAATTAGGATAACCATATGATGTATTGACAACATCGGATGAAATAAAACTTTTCTAGCTCGTTTTAGCCCTACATGCGACTACGAACCTATTATTTTGATTAAGCTGAAGCATTAAAATAGTTTAGCAGCACAAACGCAATTAATCTCCAAATTAAGCCTCCAAGTTGGATTAAGGAGGATAATTACTCGATTGTATCCTCGTGAAATTGAGTGAGACAATCAAAGTCTCATTTCTTTTGGAACATTTGGGGGAGCTTCGTGGAGGGAACATCCGGCATGTCTAGAGCACGCCATCATGCCGAGGAAGAGGAGGTTGCTTTTCTCTGCTCGACTAGTTTTAGGTTTCTAACACTTCGCTCGCACCTCTTCGGCTGTAAATTAATACGTAATTTCGCACAATAATGATAAAACTTTTTAGTCACTCATTTTCCTCTACAACATATTAATTGTGCAAAGATATGCTTCAATGCCACCTTCGGTGTCGATTGTGAAAACCTCCTCACATATTTGGTTTGGACTTACTCGATACAAGAGATAGAGATGCACGTCCCCTTCACGTCGTAAAAGTAAAAAAATCTAAAAGCCCGTGAGGCGGAAAAGAAAAAAATGAGAACAGAAAGGTTGCACTTCAAGCCTTAAAACCCCGAGCCGCGTACCTTACACAACCACCGGCAACATTGAGGTCACACCACATGAATCAAAGTCAAGAGTGAATGGCAACACAAATGGGGCAAACAATCTCTGCGTTACAGATTCCTTTCTTCCTCAAATTGTAGATCCGATACACTAAATAATTTGTCTGTTCTAACGAATCTCACAATAGTTTCTTCTATCCTATTTTTATCCCAAATTAGATGAGGAGAAAACAGCAGAAAGGTACTTGCTCAAGGCTATTCTGTAAGCAACTTAAAAATGAATCGGAGCAACTATGCCCGTGCGCAGACAAACAACAGGAACGGAACATCCCATTTGCATGACACCATGATTGTGAGTCATGACTATGCAGTGGGCAGGATAGCAAACTTTGAACTTTCCAAAATTGTAGTCTCTCATTGATATTGACCGGTTGACTCACACCCACCCGTTGTGGTTCTGTGCTATCATCAGGAGCTGAATTGCTCTTCAGCTGCTAGCTCCTAATGCCTCAGCTTCATGCTTCAAAATCTTGAAATCCCCAACAAGGCCGAACTAACCTCGGTTGATGGGTATCACTCGGCCACAGAACCAGGTTTTTGCGTCTTCAATCCAAACAGATTCTCGAACAATTTGGGTGCCATGGGAGGAATGTTCATGGCCTGAGGAGCCATGAAGTTGACTATCTTTTCGTGTACATGATACCTGTCAGTAAATTAAAAATGCTTACCTGTACAGAGATATTTTCCATAAGCCAAGAGGCAAGATCAATTCAAGATGAACCAAATTACCTTATCTTCCGACTCTTGGAAGCACGCCGATCGACTACCTTCCTCTTCTTAGTTTGTAGTCTCCTTAAAGCATAAAAAGCAGCCTCTGGATAACAAAATGGCAAATACTCAACGCTGTGAGACTACCATCTGATGAACAAATGGCAAAGTTTTTATCTTCCAGTATAATTAGTAAAACAGTTTACTGGGCCAATTAAACCAGAGAATGACTCGTGACGTAATATCAATTCCTCAAACCGACAGATGAACTGTAGTTCAGAAACTCCAACCACTTAAGTTGCAAGCCAAGCATTTGAAGAACAAAACCAACAAAGCATCACGAGTCACTGGCGGAGCTACGCCCTTCTTATAACCCTCGTCAGTAAAGGACACTAATGGAAAAGATGCATAAAGATGTGGAGTTACGAATCATACTATACCTGATGATGTTGGGTCAATTGTCTCAAAAAATTCCTTCAGCAAATGCTGATAAAACTCTGCGTCATCCACAAGTTCTGAGTCACCCTCTGCATTTGCCTCCTAATTACAGCAGGAATGAAATAATTCGTCATCAGCTATTAAAAGGAACGACCATTTATGGTCTCGCGTGCAAAATAAGAAAGATTGGTTAAAAGACAAATTTTCTTCATTTCCTTTTCAAGACCAATCAATGCTACAGACAGCTCCATTAATATTAAGGGTTTTAGAATTTAAGTTTGCTCCTCGTATCGTGACACTGCACGAGATCAGTGGTGTCTAATCAAGAGTGGCTCACCAATTGCTTATTTGATCGAGAGTATGAAATAAAAACTATTTTAATCTAGCACAACCATTACATTGTAAACAACTTAGTCCTAGAAAAGCTCATAATGAATCCAGCATGGCATATCAACAAGGTATGTAGTATGACTTGCTATACACATCCCAAAGAAATCATGGCATGCCCAATTCCCATAATTACAGCATGACTCAGAGCATAGCACGTCCAACCATGTTCCAAAAGCAATGTACAGGATAGGTGGTTTGAATTTAAATACCTCTTTGTTGGTGTTATCCACATGCTCAGGCACCTGGCCATCAAAATATTAGGTAAGAAACAGCAGGTGCAGATAGGTTGAACTTCGCTTGCCATGCAATCCAATCCAAGTATTGGTGAAAAAACAAGTATATTTCTATTTTTTTTAAAAATCTAATGAGGATTTTTAACTTACCGACCCAAATATGCCAACAGTTGACCACCTCTGTTGCATCTGCTTAACCATTCTGCTGGGGTCCCTCATGTAAGAAGACACTTGTTCACTAATATTCTGCTCAACAGCCAAAATCAAGTTATTCTTCATCCATTTCTCAGAAAAGTTTAATTAAATTGAGTTCCAGGGCCAAACCTGATTAAAAGCATGTAATTTGTTTTTCATAGCAGCAGCACCAGTTGTCACCTGCGTTTTTCTATGCCATTTGTCCACTGACTTGTCTCTAAAATGAGCCATTCTAAAATGCAAGAGCAATTAAAACTGAGTCAGCCCAAATCACTGAAGACATGAGCAAGCATGTGCAACAGTAAAACAAGAAGAAAATTTCACATGGAGATGAACCTATAAGTTCATCAATTGCCAGACAAGAAAATTCTCCTAAGGCCTACACAAAATAGAGTTAACTAGGCAAAAAGGTTCATATACTCACTCAAGTTGATATAGTATGTGATATGAGATGCTCTGTTCTATCACACATGCAGGTGAAAGAAAGATGATATTTACATCCACGGCTGAACCATCATCTAGATTTATATAAGAAGGTAACGAGCTGCTGTGGCCATATTTGCATGAGTACCTTCTATGCATCTGCGAAATTTGCGACCATTCGTCATCAGTATGCCCATTGTTGCTCTTATAATCCTCCAATTGCCTTTTTGATTGAGTAGAATTACCTAAAGGGCACGACAATCATAAGATGAAAAAAGATCGCAACTATGCCATTCATTTTCCCTTCATAAGACAACTGAGATTTGTACATGTCAAATTTCTGTCCTAAAGGACATGACAATCAGAACATGCAGAGTCATCTTCATCTAATTAAGCTAATCAACAAGTATGAAGAAAGATCATAACTGCCCGATCCAAATTTCCCTTCATCAGACAACATACATTTTGTACATTGTCAAAACTTGTGCGTGTATAATTTAAACTATCAAGGATTCCGTAAATTTCTCATTAAAAAGTTTAACTTCTGAATTACAGAGTAAATCGTTTGGCTGTACCTTCTGCTGTATGAGCAATGGCTGGATTATTCTCGAGCAAAGCCTGCCATCATATGTGTGATGTGAGATATATTGAGAACACCAAGCATCATGTCATAATGACTGGTCGCAGGGACACGAAATTCCGATGTATTATTTCACAAAAACAAAAAACAATCACAAAATCTCAAAAAAAACTAGAACTGAAAATGAATCAGCCATGGATCATTAAGCTAGACACTTGTATAAAAACCTTTTTCTTATTGTGCGTAAGAACTAGAACTCACAGTTCATACGTTAAGCATTTTCAAATTGGAAAATAAGAAAGCTTAATAACAGAAACAGACAGGGAGAGGCTATAATTTATTTCTTTTGTTTCTTTTGGTTTCTGTCCATGCTGATATACTTATATTTATTTTAGTTTCAAATTACCTTCACACTGAACCAAACCAAACACAGATAAACAACATCAGCTAATGGTTATTTCAAAACAGACATACCTCCTGCAGCTCCAAAATGGAACCCAATGTCTCCTTGGTGGACGCTATCACATCTACATAGGCTTTATTGACATTTTCATCTAACTCGCAAAATGAAGACCGTACAGGTTCCTGTATAAGTAAAAGGCATGTGAACCTCGTATAAAGATATGGCATGAAACAGTGAGAAACAAAAAAAGGGGAACAAGCAATCTACACCTTGGGTAACCGGTTTGAACTTGAGAATGGTTTCTGAAGTAAAAATCTCAATTCAAGAGTTTTGTCCCACAAAGCCTTCAGGTTTAAGAGAAATATCAATGAATCAACTCCATATCATACAGAAAGAAAGTAAAAACACAGAAAAGATATTAAACAAGAATAAGATTAAAAAGTATTGCTGGATCTGCAATGCCTGTTGCAAACTTGCAAGGTCGAAGACATTGAACAAACCAAGTTAGTTATAAACTTTTTGGTGGATGGTTTTCCCCGTAGTGAATTGTCATTGTAAACTTCTTGAAACAACATACCTTCTGACTCTGTACTGCTTGACCTTTTAGAAGATCTTCATCCTTGTGTTGCTTCAGATTCTTCAATATGTCTCTGCAGAATGTGAAGTGAAGCAAAAGATATAAGTTGCCATAAATGGATATACACACGCATTGTTACCACAATCTATCCTCGTTAAACGCCACCACTACCCAGTATTCACAACAATTCAGCCTTTTCCTACTATGGGGAGCTTGCTTCATGAATTCTACTAATTAACGAAACATAATCTTAGCAATAAGATCAAAACAAACACTAGACTGTACGTGTAATCTGTGCTCGAAGAGTAAATTATGAGATGTAAGCTCCAATGGTGAAAACGGACACGCTCAGGAGAACATCTTCACCGTCAATGCAACTGCTGTGAATAATAAACAAAGCTAAAAAAAGAGGAAATCTCACTGCTCCTGGTTCCGAAGATCCATATACTCCTTCTCGAGTTCTTTCATCTCGTCATCTTCTCTACCACGATTTTGCTCCTCGCCGTCCTCTTCAGATCCTTCCTCCTCGTCACCTGAACTGGCGTCTCCGTCCTCATCACTTACTTCTTCTTCCTCCTCCTCCTCGCCGCCATCATCCATTCCACTATCACCTTCTTCGACATCATGGTCAGAATATATCTCGTCAACCTAAAACGATTGACACACTCGATCAGAATCAACAGATTATGGGCACCCAACTAGATAAAACCGCCGAATTCCGACTTACCAACAGCTTCCCATCCTCTAGCTCACTGCCATCCTCCGAATCGCTTCGAGCTTTTCTCGCCCGCTTAGAAGATGATCCCATCGTAAAAAGCCCTGAGATACGAGCAATCAACCCATTCACCGAATTCAAAAAAACCAATCGGAATACAGCCTCTATCTAGTTCCGCCAACGAGTAACAAAAAGGAAACGCATCACAAGCATAGTCGCCCGACAATCTCAGGACTCGAAAGAGAAGAAGGAAGAGACAAATAACGGGGGAGAAAAAGCTCATTACTCGCGACTTTCGATTCCAGAGAGCAAGAAACTGGAAGCGAAGCTGCGGATTGCTTCGGCTCCGACCTTTCGAATAGTTGCCTCGGTTGGGTGACTCGGCTGGGTTTAACAAACAAAAACCCTTTCAGGCGTTACTCGTTCAACAGTCGACGCTCGGCCCGCAAAAGGAGTTGGGCCAAGAGAGAGTGAAAGCATGAAAGCCTTCCCTTTAGAGAACTACAAGCCCATAGTGCTTGAGCTCAACTCTCAAGCCCATTAACGAGAGGACCGAACCACGGGAGCACTTCTCGCATACTGTGGGAGTTAAAAACTATACGTGTCGCTAGGATAAGAACCATTTAGGAGAGACGAAGCGCGGGGACCTCTTCTCCAGGCGCGCGACCCTGAAAGTGAAAGACACGGGAAACTTATAGCGAAAGCTGTGAAGCGAAAACGTTCTGATGTTCTTCTGATCATCCCTTTCCTCAATCGAATTATCGTCCTTCGGCAATCGTAACATCATGGACAGCGAAAGGAGGTCCAGGGACGAGAAGAAAAGCCGGGGTAAGTCCGTCCTCCACTTCTTCGTCTTCTTCTTTCTTCTCTTTTGGTCAGAGGGAATGAAGGAGTGGGGGAGAAAGCCTCGGAATCGCAATTTCTGCTTTCTGGTTCGTCGCAGCTTAGGCCGTTTTTCTGTTGTATTCCTCTGTCGCTGTCGTCGTCGCTGGAAATGCTGCCAAAACAAAAGCCCCAGGCTAACTGTCCTTTTGCTGTTATGGATCTGAGACAAAAGGAGGAAAAACCCCATTTTAATCGTCGCTGAATTTTGTCTTATGATCCGTTTCTGTGAAGAGTCTTTCTCTGTGGATTTATACTCCGAAAGTTTATACTGGTTTTCGGAAGAAGTGTGAAGTTTGTTTCTCTTTGTCTGCAGATGAGAGGAAGAGGAAGAGGCATAGGACGGAGGAGGGCGAGGAAAATGAAAGCGTAAAGAGCGACAAGAAAGAGAAGGGAAAGGATAGGAAGTCCCACAAACGCCGTTCCGATAAAGGTGGGGAAAAATGGCTGGAATTTCATTTCTCCTAGCAAATCTTGTTGGTGTGTTGTCATAGATCCTAAGCTTTGGCATTTGGCAATTTGTACCAGCGTAACCTATAGTTACATTGTTCATGGCAGATGCAAGTTACTGATTGAATGTTCTTCTTCTGGTATTGATTTGTTGTTTGCTATCGGCATACTGCTGATACTTTGTCTCGTCACTAGCGTAGAATCCTACTTTAATTGTCCTTTTAACATTATACCTGTCAATACTGCTGCAGAAAAGAAGTCCAGGGACAACGAGGGTAAACATAAGAGAAAAGATCGACACACGGTAAATTTCTTGGTTTATAAATCGAAGGCTAGTAATATCTTTACCTTTGAGTTATATTGTCTCTATGTTCCGTCCTTCGTGTTCGGAGATGGTCTTTTTCGACTTTCTCTGCTCTCTTTGTTGTGCCAAAACGAAAAATCAAACAATTGATTGGAACTCGATGCCGTTTCTGTGTATAAAGTTTAGTTATAAGCTCGACTGATACATTGTGTATAGTAATTCAAGGCTTTATTCCTCTCTTCGTTTTACTTCCTCAAGATGATCATTTTGCAAAATTGGATGATGATATCTGCTAGGGGACTCTCCACCCTACAACATGCAAGGTGCAAAAATCTCATCATCATCATAAGATTGTTGGGCGGAACATCTTGCTACAATTTAAATGCGCTCGTTGGTAGAGATGTTGGAATTCTGAGTCAAAAGATTATTTTATTAGGAGGCAGGGTGGTTTTTGCATCTTAACACTCGTCAAGTAAGCTCCTTCTGTATATGTTCAAAGCTTAGAAATGGGTAATGACACTGCTAGGGCATGAACTTTTGGGGGTTTTGTAATCAAGTATCTAAACTTTTTTTGTTATTCATCAAGTACCTCAACTTTTCGAATTGAGCTCAATGTGGTACCTCCATCAAATTCATGGCTGGAAATGCTGGTGTGGCACTAATGTCGTTAGTTTGCCATTTGATAGGCTTGTATGGACACTTACATGAAATTATTTTGCCCAAGTTGGCAAAAAATTTCTCATTGTGGGGTCCTCTCTCTCTCTCTCTCTCTCTCTCTCTCTCTCTCTCTCTCTCTCTCTCTCTCTCTCTCTCTCTCTCTCGCGCACTCTCGGCACCACAGCCCATAGCGTGCTTACAAATCACCATATTGAATACAAAGTTAGGAAATATTCTTCAAAAATGTCCAATAAAATGCCGTGTGGCCAAAGATTTGGTCGAGTGATTAAAATGTCTCTTCAGTGCTTTAATTTTCCTTTCTGTTTGATTGTTTGCTTCTCATGTATGAGCTCTATTCCTCCCCAACCCACCCAAAATTAAAACAGAGAAAGGTAATTCAAGGTGGAGACCTTAGATCTAAGCACGCAGCCTCAGATTTGAAGTCGCTAGCTCATGTCTGAGCTTGTGCAACCTCAATATGTTGGTGGCGGTCATCTCCATTGAAGGTTGATTAGAGAGAGTGAGAGAGAACCGAAGAGAGGGAAAGGGGCTCGCAAGCTAAGTGCGGTGAGCGGTGGAGATGGAACCTGGTGTAGGGCCACAAAGGCCTCCCCTTGAGTGACTATTGAAAAATTGAGGTACTTGATTGAAAAAAAAAAGGTTAAAATTCAGGTACTAAAAGATAAGGTGCTTTACTTTTAGATGGGCTCTAGTTCACTTCTTGTGAAGACTATTTCCTAATATATATTCTCAAAAAATAGTGAAACCCTTTTGAATTCTTTCTTAAGCATGACCATCATCAATTTTCTTAATTACTATTAAGTTGCAGGATATGTAAATAGGCCCATTGCTTATGTAGTAAAGATTTATGATTTGCCAATTGGATAACTAGATAGTTCCTCTCCAGAACACGCTGTTTTGTCTGCAATTGCCTGTGAAGTTAAACAATTCTTATATAGGATGTTTGTGTTTGAGGTAACAAAGTTTCCATATCTTCCTGGATTTGACTTTCATTGTGGGAGAGTTTCTCCATGTTCCCTTTTTTTAGTTGTACTTCTCCACTCAAAGACATGATTTTACCGGACTGCACATGTTACTACCATATTCGATTTTATTACTTGCATGTTTTGTATTCTCATCTTAGGTTTGTTTTGATATGGTGTTATGTCATGCTTGGGGGTGCTTATCCTGTCGGGGTTTTCACAATTCATTGCATACGAATGATATGATTGATTCTTCTTCTTGTAGAAACATGATTTCCCGGAGCTGTCGAGTGATGACTATTTCTTGAAGAATAATGAGTTCGCCACCTGGCTAAAGGAAGAGAGAGATATTTTCTTCAGTGATCTCTCTGCGGAGTCAGCTCGTGAACTTTTTTCAGAGTTTATTAAGGAGTGGAACAGGGGGAAGCTTGAATCTCGATACTACGAGGGAATTGCAAGCGGACAACGAACAGCCCATAATTGGAAGATCAAAGTGTAGTTGGAAAAATTACAGGACTGGGGATTGACCTTTTTAGATGCACTTACCCCGTTATTTTCTCGCACTCTTTGTGGAATATGGTACAGGTAACTTGGAAGGTTCGTGTATGATAAACAGAGAGGACGATTCTCACTGTGTATTAATTTGCTTGCTAGGTATAGAACATTTCCTAGAGAGTGACTGAAGAAGGGCACGGGATGAATTTACAGTGGAGACATTGTTATTTGCATATTAGCTATAATCTGTGAATCATATTGGATTTCACGGAGTCTGATCGAATCATTCTTGCGACTTCTTTTCTTGATAGGATGTCCTGTACTAGTTGTTTTCCTGACCCTTTTGGTCACTGGGTTTGGTTGTTTTTCTTCTTTCTGTCGTCCTCTTATGGTAGGTGAAGAGTAGATTTGGTGTTTGGCCTGAGAAGTGTATGAAGCAAGTATTTCTGGAGAACTTATAATCTTCATATCTCTATTCTTCGGCCTTCAAACACGGGATTTGAATGTGGACGTGATTCCCATTCACCACCCAAGAGGCTCCATGTACCCACCAAATCTTTTTCTTCCACGGTGGGAGGGAATACGGAGAGAACAAGGGGACGAGCCTCCACCATATTGGGGAGTCCCTTTCTCATGTTTTCTCATTGAGCCTTTTAAGGTCCCGCTCAGGACTATAGAACTTATAATATTTAGATCTCTATTCTTCGACCTTCAAACTCAGGATCTGAATGCCAATGTGATTCCCATTCCCCAATTTGCTGCCCATCTTGTATTGTCCGTTCTCCGGGAATCATTTCACAGGATAACCAATTTAGGATGCATGTTACTCATAAATTTTACAAATATGAGCTAATCTATGTTCGATACTATGAAAAACCAGCAGACCACTATCCATAAAACTAATTTAAAAGAGAAAAATGGGATAATAGTACTTGGTCCATTAGGCAATTGACTGCTAAAATATTTGTATTCGGCACTTAAGTTTTAAAATTTTCGTTTCGTGCATTTAAGTGCTCAAATTTGTTTTTATCTTTCCGTTAAGCGTATTGAAGTGCTCAAGTTTGTTTTTATCTTTCCGTTAAGCTTTTAGCTTATGTAAATTTTCGAATTGGCTCGTTTGATCCACATGGTCATTAATAAGCCGATTAATTTATTAAGATGCAAATTGATGTCCATTAACGTTAAATGACATTGTGCTCCAAATGAGCTATACAATTTTCGAAAAAAACTATAAATTAGAAAAGAGGGAGGGAATCGTGAGAAATGAAACACCAATTTATAAAAGGGTTAATACCACGAAAAACCTAAACATGCATGCCATTACATTTACCCAAACTATTTTTTGACCATAAAAAACCCCAAACTGAGTATACAGTGACAATTTTACCCCGAACATACACAAAAACCCCAAACAGGTACACATGTGACAATTTTACCCCAACTAATTTGTAATATTATTATTTTTTTATTTTTTTGAATTTTTTCTTTTTTCTTTTCTTTTTTTTTTCTTCACTTCAACCTCTAGTCGGTCGCCGGTCCGGCGATTGGTCAGAGGCGGAAACCGGCGAGGGCCGCCCTCGGCAGTCGCTGGCGAGGGCCGCCCTCGCTTGACTCGGCAAGGGCGATCCTCGCCGGATCTAGCTAGGGCGGCCCTCTCCGGCGTTGGGCGAGGGTCGTCCTCGCCCGACGCCGGCGAGGGCCGCCCTCGCCCGACTCCGACCCCGGCGAGGGTGGCCCTCGCCCGACGCAAGCGAGGGCAGCCCTCGCCCGATACCGGCGAGGGTAGCCCTCGCCCGATACCGGCGAGGGTAGCCCTCGCCGGATCCTGGCGAGGATGGCCCTTGCTCGACGCCGGCGAGAGCGGCCCTCGCCGGCTTCCGCCTCTGGCCGGTCACCGAACTGGCGACCGGCCAGAGGTTGAAGATAAAGAAAAAATAAATAAAAGGAAAAAAATAAATAAAAATTCGAAAAAAATAAAAAAAATAATATTAAAATTTTAATTCAGGGTAAAATTGTCACAGATGTACCAGTTTGGGGTTTTTGATGGTCAAAAAAATAGTTCGGGGTAAAATTGTCACAGGTGTACCAGTTTGGGTTTTTTATGGTAAAAAAAATAGTTTATGGTAAATGTGTCACAAGTGTACAAGTTTAGGGTTTTTCATGGTATTAACCCTTTATAAAAATATAGTCATATAATTTTTTCGTCCAATAAAAAGTAACGGACTCAACGGAAGATAGAAACAAGTACCAAATTTTAACCGCACAAAAATAAAACCTTTCGAGTTCAAACCTGGGATGGACAAAAAAGTTGTTGAACTTGCACCGTCGTTCGTTGGCGGGAATTGCAAGCTCGCGACAGCCTTTCACATGTCGCTTGAAATGAGACCTATGACCTCCGTTCTCGCACCCAAAAACTTGCACCGTCCTTTGACCAACCGGCGCTCGCGCAACATCAATCGTCGATTCCCGTAACTCTTCTGCAGTCGTCTGCGTAACTGGTGAATCAATCCTCACACCACTTCAGAACTGGCTAGGTGCTTTAGACTGCCATCGGCTCTCCACTTCCATTGTCACTTACTACCCTTCGGTTCCTTTCCTACAATCTTGTCACAGTGCAACTTCTCCACGCTCCAATGCACCCGGGTCGCCGACCACCCCCAAGTGGCCGCCTTTCTTCGAGATGGTTTCTCGCGAATCGCCGAAGAAAACGTCGGTAAGGCGTTGCATGCTATGTGCATTACGGGTGTGCTCGACCTAAGTACTTTCCAAGCCAACACGCTGGTGAGTTTCTACTCGAAGTTCGGCCGTATTGAGTGTGCCCGGTACCTGTTTGATAAAACTCCCGTGAAAAATGAGGCCTCTTGGAACACCATGTTATCTGGTTATGTTCGTGTGGGATTGTATCCAGAGGCGCTTGAATTCTTCGTGCAGAATTGGGGTCGAGGTCTTTACCCCAATGGGTTTGTTCTCGCTAGTTTGATTACCGCCTGTGATAGGTCGTGTTGTATGGTAGAGGAGGGTGTTCAACTCCATTGCCTTGCGACTAAGATTGGCTTGAAGGATGATGTGTTCGTGGGTTCTTCACTTTTGCATTTTTATGGAGCATATGGGTTTATTTGCGAGGCCAGGAAGTTCTTTGAGGATATGCCTTACCGGAATTTCGTCTCCTGGACTTCTTTGATGGTTGGTTATCTGAACAAAAATGATCCAACTGAAGTCATTAATTTGTATAGGTGCATGAGACATGAGGGAGTGATATGTAACCAAAACACGTTGGCCACAGTCATTAGTTCTTGCAGTTTGCTAGATGATACATGTGTAGGCCATCAAGTTCTTGCACATGTCGTGAAGCTAGGGCTTGGGAATAGTGTTTCTGTGGCAAACTCTCTTATATCTATGTTGGGTAGCTTCGGGGATGTCGACAAGGCCCAATATGTCTCTGATGTCATGGATGAACGTGATACAATATCGTGGAATTCCATTATCTCTGTTCATGCAAATAATGGGCTTTATAAGGAATCTTTCGATTGTTTTTATTTAATGCGGCATGCTAACAGCCAGCTAAACTCAACTACACTTTCGACATTGTTAAGCATATGTGGTTCTTCAGAGAGACTGAAATGGGGCAAAGGGATACAGAGTCTGGTGGTGAAAGTTGGATTGAATTCCAACACATGCACATCTAATTCTCTTTTGAGCATGTATTCGGAAGCTGGAAGACCCGCAGACGCTGAGCTTGTATTTGTTGAAATGTCAGAGAGGGATGTAATCTCATGGAATGCAATGATTGCTTGTTATGTTCTGGATGAGAAAAGCACAAATGCCCTGCGTCTTTTGGCAGAAATGCTTTGGATGAGAGATGTAATAAACTATGTCACTTTTGTGAGTGCATTGGCTGCCTGTTCAAGTCAAGAATTCATCATCCTAGGTAAGATGGTTCATGCTCTTGTAATTGTTGTAGGACTGCAAGATAATTTGGTGATCGACAATGCATTGATTTCGATGTATGGATTTTGTCATTTGATGGTTGACGCTGAGAAGGTATTCGAGACAGTGAGAAAACATGACGAGGTATCTTGGAATGCACTTATCGGTGGCTATGCTGAGAATGAAGAACGTGAAGAGGCTCTAAAAGCATTTAGATTGATGAGACAGGAAGGACCCGGTGCAAACTATATCACCATTGTCAACATTCTCAGTGCTTGCTCGACTTCCAGCGACCTGCTGACACACGGAAGGCCCATTCACACTCATACAGTCCTGATGGGACTTGAGTCAGATAAATATGTCCGCAACTCCCTCATCTCAATGTACGCCAAGTGTGGGGACCTCTCTTCAAGTGATCACATCTTTCGTCAATTGGATGACAAAGATGTAGTAACATGGAATGCAATGATCGCTGCAAATGCCCACCATGGCCATGCAGAGGAGGCCATTAAACTCATTGCAAGGATGCCGACTGCCGAATTACATCTTGATCACTTCAGCTTTTCCGGAGGATTTGCTGCTGCTGCTAATTTGGCCTTGTTGGAAGAAGGCCGGCAGCTTCATGCTTTGGTTATGAAACTTGGGTATAACACTGATCTTTATATCACTAATGCGGCAATGGATATGTATGGAAAATGTGGAGAAATGGATGATGTATTAAGAATACTTCCCGAACAAATGAACCGGACACGGATGTCATGGAATGTTCTAATATCAGCTTTTGCAAGACATGGGTGCTTTGAAGAGGCAAGGGAAGCATTTCATGAAATGGTGGAGCTAGGGGTGAAACCCGATCATGTGACATTTGTTTCTCTGCTTTGCGCATGCAGTCATGGGGGTCTAGTAGACGAGGGTCTTGCATATTATGCATCCATGACAACAAACTTTGCTGTCTCGCCAGCGATAGAGCACTGTGTGTGCATGGTTGATCTTCTCGGCAGAGCAGGAAGGCTCGCCGCGGCTCAAGATTTCATCGAGAGAATGCCAGTTCCTCCGAATGACCATGTATGGAGGAGCTTGTTGGCTGCATCCAAAGTACATGGCGATTTGGAGCTTGGAAAGAAGGCTGTGGAACGCCTGTTTGAGTTGGATCCATCAGATGATTCAGCTTATGTTTTGTATTCCAACGTGTGTGCCACCTCGAGGAGATGGGAGGATGTGGAGAGTGTAAGGAGGCAAATGGGGTCCATAAGAAAGAAGCCCGGTTGCAGTTGGGTGAAGTTGAAAGACGAGGTGAGTTCATTTGGCATGGGCGATAAGTCTCATCCACAGTCGAAGCAGATAAATGAGAAGTTGGTGGAGCTCAAGAAGATGATAACGGAAGCAGGCTATGTTCCCGACACGAGCTATGCTCTACAGGATACGGATGAAGAACAAAAGGAACACAACCTTTGGGAGCACAGCGAGCGACTAGCTCTTGCGTTTGGTCTGATCAATACTCCAGATGGTTCGGCCATCAGAGTGTTCAAGAACTTGCGCGTGTGCGGCGACTGCCATTCTGTCTACAAGTTGGTCAGCCAAATTGTGAGCAGAAGAATTGTCTTGAGAGATCCATACCGGTTTCATCACTTCAGCGAGGGGCGGTGCTCATGCTCTGACTATTGGTAGACAAAATGGTCTCTTCAAGGTTGCAAGAAACAATTCATTTCCTACATGCATTTGTTGGATCGAGTATTTCCTAGATGCTATCTGTGATCCTTTGTTGTATCGATGATACTTCCATTTAGAAACCACAGAAACGTTAATCAATATTTTTTTTGTAGCTTAGGGAAAATAAAACGCAATGCTCGTTTACAGGCTCGATGATATTACGTTTTTCTCTCCATTTCTTTACCGAGCCAATTTCCACACTTAAGCAAAATGTTGTTATTCACATAGAATTAGACCTGTCAAATGGGTGGGTCGGGTCGGGTTTGGGTCAGGTCATAAATGGTCCGACCCAAATTGGCCCATTTATGCGTAATACAATTTTCTTAACCCATACCCGACCCTACCCATACCTAACCCATACCCGATCAAACCCATATTGCTAAAACACTTTCATATTTAATTAAATCTAGGAAAATTCATACCCAAACTGAAATGAGAGTACAAAGTGAGTGAGCGCAAGGTTGAATAAGGGCGAGAGAGATAAGTTGAGTTTAAATTAGTTGTAAACTCATTTATGACCCATTTAATATAATATTAGACTTCTACTCATTTATGATCCATTTACTAAATATAACTAACCCATTTACTAATATATGGGTTAAGAAATGGGTTTATGATCCATTTTGACAGGTCTACATAGAATATTGGAATGTGAAAGTGAAACTCAACATGCAGAGACCAAACTAATACAGCATTGGCCATGAAGTGGTATGCCACAGGACCATGGATTGTTTTGGTCGAAATAACATTCAGTATTACTTTTGTTTCTCGAATGATCCACATTCTAAAATTTAGGGATAAATGCATTGGAATTCCTAAAAACTTGTGATGAAAATGCAATCGAGTCATAAAACTTTCAAAAGGTGCAATCAACGGAATGAATTGATTGGGCCAATTTATAATTTTTAGGATTTAATTGCACTTTTTTGAAAATTTTATGATACGATTGTACTTTAGTGACAAGTTATAAGACTTAATAGCACTTTCATGACAAGTTTAGGACTTTTAATACAATTATCCTTAAGTTTTATTTACAAATAAATTCATTAATTAATGTAACGTGTTGTCAATCAGACATAACTTCACGTTAATTTAATATGTCGCTTAAGTTATTGATGTTGTAAATTAGATATAGTCATACTTCAGCAATATTCTATTTCATTGAAACGTTAATAATACACTAAACTTGGAATCCGAAAGCTTAAGATGTACTTTGGGGGTTCATTAATGAAATCTCTGTAAATCTGTGTAAAACATCGTGTCGCCTCCAATCGACACGTGGCACCAGGGCCCGCAGCTACAGCCTACTACAGCTATCGCAGGTTTCCCACCATGTTTGGCAATATTTCGCTGGAGATCGATCCGTCTTCTTCTTTCCCCGTTCGGTTCAATTTCATCACCATTTCGCTCGTCCGCTTCTTCGATTCTAGGGTTTCTTCTGCCTCTGCGCGTTCCCCCAAATCGCTGGCTCGCCATCCATGGGACGCAGGTACCTGCATTTCAATCTGGTGCATGCATCATACTGGTTCGCCACTCTCGGTTTTTTCCACCACATTCCGTCAGATGAGGGCGGATTCGGCGTTGCTCTGGGCTTGTGATTCACACGCTGCGCGCACCTTGTTTTTTTTTGTTTTTTTATTTTTCGTTTGATAGGCTCGTCCTTGTAAGACTCGTCGTAATCATTTTTCGCTTGCTCTTCTGGAGCTGCAAAAGATGCAGCGATGCCACCTTCCATGGCTGCATCTGTCCTCAACTCGAGCGTTCTTTGATCGATGGTTGCGATGTGACGTCGGTCTGAGCTACTGTGAAGAGATTTTGGCGAGTGATGGAGGAAATTTTTAGAGTCCGCGCCTAATCGTGTGCGTAAATCCGATTGCGCTTCAAAGCTTCGAACCTGCTTCGCAGTTGGTAATTCCTTTTTTGTTTTTGTCAGTGCATACGTGGGTTTTGGCAGCGCAAGGACGCGTCTGAAGTTCAGGGACACGGGGAGGAGAATGGGTGGCGGGCAGCTCCCTGAAGTCGGTGCGATATTCATGTCGAACGCCGGTACGAAAGAAGAATGTCTGGAGAAGATGCTGTTTGGCCTCCCATATTCCCACGCTGATTTCGTGAGGAGGGTCAAGGCTGGAATGATTCTGTTCCTCTTCGAATACGAGCGGAGGGAACTCCACGGTGTCTTCGAGGCAGCTTCGGATGGCGAGGTTAACATCGTCTCCTCCGCTTATACTTCATCAGGGAAGCAGTTCCCTGCTCAGGTACTCGGCTCCCTTAATTGTTTGCAGCTCTTGCTTCTTCATTAGTACCCGCGATTTCGCTCGCCCGGGTATGCCGCTTGCTTGCTCAGCATCCTAGTTTTTTGTTCAGGTCCGAGTTAGCAGGATATGGCGCTGTTATCCACTTTCCGAAGGAGAATTCCGTGGGGCCATTGAAGACAACTATTTTAGTGCCTACAAGTTCAATTTCGGTCTCTCCTATGATCAGGTCAGGAATATGCCTTGTTGACTATACTATATGACCGATAATGGATGGTAATAGCCTTCGAAGCAGAACTCATCCTTCCAACTTCCTCGCTTCCAGGTTCGCCAGCTTCTCTGTTTGTTTGACTCCAGAAAGATCGGCGAATCGAAAGATACAGATTTTAATTCATGCGCAACGAATGAATTTGTAGAAAGACATCCCCGACCTTTGCATTTCGATGGAAAAATAGAAGGCACTGATTTAGCCAACACAGATGCTGAAGTCGAGTCATCTCATCTGACCGCAAAGTTGTCTGTATATTCCGAGAGAACTCTTCCAGAAGATTGTTTTTCTCTGGTTTCTGAAACTATGGACAAGTCGAGCACGGCCAGAGTCTCGTCTGATACTCTTAGTCTTGCTTGCTCTTCACCTTCTCAAACAAGACAGAACTTGCATGAAGTTGAAACTCAGTGTGCCGATGCTTTAGGAAGTCAGTCGATCCAACTTCACAGTGTCGCAGAAAATAATGCTTGTTCTTGTTTGAATGCTGACCTTGGTGATTTCATACCTTTGTCCTTCCATGACGATGAGAACCTGACAGAAGACGAAGACGAATACGAATCCATGATACCTAGTTTATGGACAGACAAACTCTGCTTTGAGCCATACAATCGAATTATTTTGGGTGCTGATACTCCTGTGTGTCCGAGTGAACTCTCTACCTTAGATCCACGAAAAAGTCTATTCCCTATAATTGGTGAATCATCCTCTGCAATCATCCCTATACGAATCATGACAGACCACCAAATGAAGGAAGATAACAATCACTTGAATTCTCTCTCCAGCTGCCAAGAGAACAGTATTTCAGAAGACTCTGATAACTTTCTCCATGTCAAGCGTCTGTATTCTGACTCTTCACTTCCGAGGAAGAGGGGTAGCGTCTTCTCTCGTTTGACGAAAGGAACTATACAGGAGAAGCATAATCCCGTTGATGTGGTAATATCAGTTGACGACATTATGGAAAACTTGAAGCTGAAGCACGAGGCTTGGATGAAAACGGCAAGAGATGAAAATCCTGCTCTGAAGGCTGGGGCAGTGATTAAGTCGAGAAAGAGTGTGTTCAAGCGGCTAGGTAAGCCTCTAGAAACTGGCGTATCGGAAGGGAAATGTGATTGGAAGGTGGCAATGGGAGGAAGCAAGTCCACCAGAAAGAAGAGAAAATGCGAAGTACGGTGACTGCCCTGCACTTTGGAGTTTAAATAATGCACATTATCATATGATTGACTAGAGTAGCTAGGTGGATACTGGATACCTCGTTGCTGAATGGCGGAACTAGAGATACCTCATTGCCGAAAGTCGGCACAAAGGAAGCCACTGAGTCCAATATTTGGTGAAATCTACCATTGTGTTGGTGAGAGTTTTGACAATAGGTAGTTCAGTGTGTCAGTAAGATTTGGTGGGAGAGAGCATGTGGACAGGTTCCAGCATCAAACAACCCAGTAGTGGGATCCCTCATGGTAGATTTCACCAACATCCGGTAGGTATTCGATGTTGGAAACTCAAATGGATATAGTGCTCTGACTTCTCATTCTTGAATTTTCAATGAAGATGGGTATCGAATGTCGAAGACAGTTTAGAAGTTCCGTTAGGAAATCGGTTAAGACTCATTGGATGGAGTACACGGAAGGCATTCTTAAGATGAGAGGGGGTGAGTGATTAAGAAAGTACCTTTCTCGTTGCATGCTTCCTCTTACCTTCTTTCCAGCTACAACTGGCCTTAAATTATATCTCAGCGACTGCTTTGAAATGGCGGGAAAATTACCAAAAAAGTCCTAAACCTTTTGTAATTGTGCCAATTCAGTCCTAAACCTTTTTTTGCCAATTCAGTCATAAACCTTTTGCAATTGTGCCAATTCAGTCCATCTGGTCACTTTTGGCCGGTCGGCGCTGACATGGACGCCGGCCGACTGACGTGATAATATTTTAATAATTTTTCGAATTTTATTTTATTTTTTTCTCTTTTCTTTTTTTTTCCCTTATCTTCTTTGCCGGTCCGGCGACCGGCGAGAGGCTGAGGCCGGCGAGTTCCACCTCGCCGGCCATGGGCAAGGCTGGCCCTCGCCGGCACTGGCGAGGGTGAGCCTCGCCGTCGCCGAGCGAGGCCTCGACCTCGCCCGGCCATGGTGGGGTCGACCTCGCCCGACCATGGTGGGGTCAACCTCGCCCGACGACGGCGAGGTCGACCTCGCCAAATCTGGGCAAGGCCTCGCCTAGACGGCGAGGTCTCGCCAGATCTAGGCGGCCTCGCCGTCGCTGGGTAAGGTCGAGCCTCGCCATGGTCGGGCTAGGTCGAGCTCGCCCAACGACGACGAGGTCTCGCCAGATCTGAGCGAGGCTCGACCTTGCCGGCCATGGGCGAGGTCGAGCCTCGCCAGGCGGCCTTGCCGTCACCAGGCGAGCTTGACCTCGCCAGGCCGGCGACAGTCGACCTCGCCATGGTCGGGCAAGGTCGAGCTCGCCCAGCGACGGTGAGGCTCACCCTCGCTAGTGCCAGCGAGAACTAGCCTCGCGTCGGCCCGCCAGCGTTCAAGTCAGCGTCGGCCGACCAAAAGTGGCCATGGTGGGGTCGACCTCACCCGACGACGGCGAGGTCGACCTTGCCAAATCTGGGCAAGGCCTCGCCCGGTCATGGCAAGGCTCAACCTCACTCGGCGACGGTGAGGTCTCGCCAGATTTAGGCGGCCTCTGCGTCGCTGGGCAAGGTCGAGCCTCGCCATGGTCGGGCGAGGTCGAGCTCGCCCAACGACGGCGAGGTCTCGCCATGGTCGGCCGAGGTCGAGCTCGCCCAACGACGGCGAGGTCTCGCCAGATCTGGGTGGCCTTGCCGTCACCAGGCGAGCTCGACCTCGCCATGGTCGGGCGAGGTCGAGCTCGCCCAGCGACGGTGAGGCTCGCCCTCGCTAGTGCCAGCGAGGGCTAGCCTCGCGTCAGCCCAACGGCGTTCAAGTCAGCGCCGGCCGGCCAAAAGTAGCCGAATAGACTGAATTGGCATAATTACAAAATGTTTATGACTTTTTTGGTAATTTTCCCTTGAAATGGCCTTAAGAAGATCTTTCTAAGTCATGTAGAGGAATCGCGGTAGGCAGTGGTTTTCATGCAACAGCGAACGTTCTTAGATCAATCAGTTTAGTTCATCAAACAAGTTCCTTACCTTTGAAATTCATACCGAAAGTACTAAAAGCAACATGTCAACTGAAGCGTTAGGACAGACTTAAAAATCATATGAGTGAGCACAAGAAGCAATGACACTGAGCAATGCTACAAATACTGGACAGTCTGACCGGATCGATTAACTTAAATTTATCAAAAGAGTCTATTAAATTTTGAAGTTTTAACAAGGTGCTAGAAACACCGGATTAAGAGGATTTTAAAAGATTTTTTTTTTTGGTCGAAAGATTTAAAAGATTAGGACAGGAGTCAAATCATACGAGCGAGCAAAGATTTAAGCAAAAGAATCAATGACAGCAGGTAGTGCTTTCCATAGAACTTTGACAACCCTTACCTGATTAATTCATGTAATTCATCAAACGAGTTTATTACTTTTCACCAAAAAAAAAAATACTACGGATGAGGGAAAATCCAAACAGATGAAGAAGTGAACATTCTTACAAGGTTGATGGATTTAATTCACCAAATGAGTTTATAAATTAAATTAACTAATCATGTAAGAGTTGGCAAAAAGCCGGAAATATACAACGACGACGAGAAATGGATGACCCGAGTGAGCAAATTAAGAGCAAGGAAGGCAAAGATAGCCGACAATGTTTTTCATGAGAGTGAACAGTCTTGAAAGATGAAATAATCTATCATCACAATAGTTAATTAAAATTTGAAACCAGCAATATCGACAACAACCAAGCCTTATCCTATCAAATGCGTTAGGCTATATGAATATCAATACAATTTCGCCATCGTGCTAGATTTTCTGTTAGATTCCTTGTGAGCTCTAGATGTTCCGTATCTTATCATAGCACGTGAATAAACCCATTTTAGTGAGCGATATAAGAAGCATAAGCATATGATCTCCTCACACCAAATTCAATGTCATGCTCACACAGTTTGTTCAGCCACACATAACCTAAGAGACCAAAAAACTCTTCAACAAAAAGCCCCCTCTCTCTTCTTCTCCCCCCGAACAAAGGGAATGAAACAAGAAACTGCAGGGGAAAACAAAGCACAACCAAATGCAACCAACGTGCACCCCATTTTACTGGAATGTGCCGAGCCATTACCAAGGTCATATCACATGCATATACAAGCTGCTACTCGGTATAGGACTACCAAATTCAGACTTCATCTGCTTAAAAAGAAAAAGGATGACTTAGATTGTAATACAATAACATTCTAAAATGGCGGAACTTACACCATCCGACATCTTATGAGGCAAAAATCTAGAGTAGAGAAAAAGCAAGCACAAGCAATCACGGGGATGACGAGACAGACTGCAATCTTTCATTGCTCTGTCTTTTTATTGCTTCCTCGCCAAAGAAGTCCTGAAGAGCAATCATCTGTATTGAACTGCTCTTCATGCTCCTTATTGCCTCTGCACTTGCCAAAGCTCCAGCAACAGTTGTTATTATGGGAAGCTTATAGGCAAGGGCCATCCTTCTCAGCCGTCGTCCATCGATCTGGTCAATTGTATCACCCGAACTAGTTATCACCATCAACTGAATTTCTCCATTAGCGATCATATCACCTGCATGGGGTCGCCCCTCGTGCATCTTCAGCACTCGTTCTGCCGGAATACCCGCTAATTCAAGAACGTGAGCTGTCCCTGAAGTTGAAATAATTTTAAAACCAAGATCCAGAAAAGCTTTTGCAATCCTTTCAAGGTGGGGCTTTGTCAAGTCGTTTAAGCTGAGGAAGACAGTCCCAGAAAGTGGTAGCTTCTGTCCGGCAGCAATTTGAGCTTTTGCAAATGCAATAGGAAACTCATAATCAATACCCATGACCTCACCAGTGCTACGCATTTCAGGCCCCAACAAAACGTCACATCCTTGGAACTTTTCAAAGGGCAGAACTGCTTCCTTTACAGACACATGCCGGGGGACGACCTCATCAGTGAAATTTAGGTCATGAAGAGATTTCCCAGACATGACAAGGGAAGCATACTTTGCTAATGGGTGTCCAATTGCCTTAGACACAAATGGGACTGTTCGGGAAGCACGTGGATTTGCTTCAAGCAAGAAAACCTCTCCAGAAGCTGTTATTGCGTATTGACAATTCATAAGCCCACAAACGTTGAGCCTCTTAGCCAACTTTGTTGTCCAAGACCTAATTGTCGCCAAGCACGAAGCTGGTATTGTTTTCGTAGGAATAGAACATGCTGAGTCACCAGAATGGACCCCTGCCTGCTCAATGTGCTCCATAATCCCACCAATCACCACATTTCCATTTGAGTCTGCAAGTGCATCAATATCAATCTCAATGGCATCTGATAAATACTTGTCTATCAATACAGGACGCTCTGGGTCCACCTCCACAGCATTTTCCAGGTATGTCACAAGCTTGTCATCACTATACACTATTTCCATCGCTCGGCCGCCCAAAACATAGGAAGGCCGAACAACAACTGGATATCCAATATCTTTTGCAATGGAAAGAGCATCATCCTCGCATTTGGCAATCCCTCCTTTAGGCTGCTCAATTTGTAACTCCTTCAGAATTGCATTGAATCTCTCCCGGTCCTCAGCGGCATCTATAGAATCAGGGGATGTGCCCCATATGCGGACAAGCCCAGCCCCACTGGCACTTGTTGGCCTATGCTCATCTAGATACTGCTGGATAGGGAGGGCCAGCTTCAACGGTGTTTGACCACCAAACTGAACAATGATGCCATCTGGTCTCTCCAGATCAATAATGTTCAAGACATCTTCAACTGTCAATGGCTCGAAGTAGAGACGGTCACTTGTGTCATAGTCAGTGGATACTGTCTCAGGATTTGAGTTCATCATAATTGTCTCATACCCTGCATCCTGCAACATAAGAGAAAATGCTTTGAAAAATACGGCCAGAAGAGAGGTGAAAACATTTAGAAGAGTATATACTACTTACAGCATTTACAGCAAAAAGGTATATACTTGCATGAGGAGAGGAGTATAATCCGGTAACATGATCTTGACAATTCTTACGATACAAAAATGGTTGGATATAATTAGAGGCAGAGTGGCATAGAAAAGGGGACCATAAAATTATACAAAGATCTAATCTCCAGCACTCTAAGATCTGGAAGAAAAGATTCAATGAGATTATCACAACCATACTTTTCCCATTGATGGAAAATCCCTCAATGATAACCTAACTACAGCACACTAAGATCTGGTAGCAAGAAAAGATTCAATGAGACCGAGATTACCACAAAAACCGGGGACATGCAGTATAATAAAAAAACCGAACCACACTTTTCCCATTGAGGGAAAATCCCTCACCGATATGCTAACTTCACAGGACTAGAATTTAGTTGAAAACTTGACATGTAGGATGAATACAGAATGAAAACGTAACTCCACATGACGAAAGGACATATCATGAATATAAGGCAAACCTGAAGAGCAAAGGATGTGTGACAGCAGCAATAGTCGAATTCAATCCCTTGCCCTATCCTATTTGGTCCTCCACCTAAGATCAAAACCTTCTTCTTTTGGGTTGGAGCTGACTCACATTCAAAATCATAGGATGAGTACATATAAGGAGTGTTCGCCTCAAATTCAGCCGCACAAGTATCCACACGCTTATATGCTGGGTTAACACCCAAAGACAGCCGCTTCTTTCTGATTTCCTTCTCAGTGGATTTAGTTGCAAAGGCAATCTGCCTGTCACTAAAACCTCTCCGCTTCACCTCATAAAAATCATCCTTTGTCAGATTTGACAAGGTTCGAGAAAGAAGATACTGTTCTATATCTACGAGCTCCTTAAGCTGTGTGAGGAACCACTTGTCAATGTGAGTCAACTCATGAATATCATCGACTTTCATACCCCTCTTCATTGCGGCATATATGGCATGAATTCGATCCGGGTTAGGGACTCTCAGGCAGTATTTCAGCTGGTCCCAATCCCAATCAAGTTCCTTTACCCGAGCACACCCCCACCCGAAGTAGCCCAATTCCAAGGATCGAACTGCTTTCTGAAAAGATTCCTGAAAGGTACGGCCTAGCGCCATTGATTCACCAACAGACTTCATCTGGGTCGTAAGAATTGGCTGAGACCCAGGGAATTTCTCAAATGCAAACCGAGGGATCTGCATCGAACAAAGATGGAGATGAAATTACATAAAGACTGACAAGACTAAGACAACTTCTTTTCAAGTTATGTGCTTTCAACGAGTTACACAATCTTACTAGAGAAAGCTTGAGGCACATATATAAGCAGAGACAAAATCTGGCTACTTTCCGCTGTAAATATACTCCATACAGGGAGAAGGAAACGCAAAACAAGAGCAACAAATAGAATAAGGAAATCCTTACTTTAGTCACCACATAATCGATAGATGGCTCGAAACTTGCAGGTGTCTTCTTGGTAATGTCATTTGGAATCTGATCCAAAGAATATCCAACGGATAATTTTGCAGCCATCTTGGCGATGGGAAAGCCAGTAGCTTTGGATGCTAGAGCAGAGGAACGCGACACCCTCGGATTCATCTCAATTACCATCACCTCTCCGTCAACAGGATTCACTGCAAACTGCACATTCGAGCCACCACACTCGACCCCAATTTCCCGAATTATTGCTATAGAATAGTCCCTCAAACGCTGATACTCCTTATCCGTCAAAGTTTGGGCAGGCGCCACGGTGATCGAATCCCCCGTGTGAACGCCCATAGCGTCAATGTTCTCGATGGAGCATATAATAACCACATTGTCAGCTAAATCTCTCATCACCTCAAGCTCATATTCCTTCCAACCCAACAGCGACTTCTCCACCAAAACTTGGCTCGTCAAGCTCGCCGCCAAACCCGCCTTGCAAATGGCCTCAAATTCCTCCTTGTTATAAGCAATCCCACCTCCCGTTCCACCCAGAGTAAATGCAGGTCTAATAATCAAGGGAAACTCCCCAATCTCATTCGCTATTTCTATGCATTCATCTAAAGTGTTCCCTATACCGGAGGGAGGAGTTTTAATACCTATGTTTTGCATCGCCTGCTTGAACAAATCTCTGTCCTCCGCTTTCTTTATGGCGTCGAGCTTCGCCCCGATCAACTCGACCCCATACTTGTCCAAGGCCCCGCTCTCGGCCAGCGCGACGGCGAGGTTCAGCGCGGTCTGGCCGCCCATGGTGGGCAAAAGAGCATCGGGGCGCTCTTTCTCGAGAACTTGCTCGACGAGCTCAGGGGTCATCGGGGTGATGTAAGTCTTGTCGGCCAGGTCAGGGTCGGTCATGATAGTGGCGGGATTGGAATTGATAAGAACGACCTCGTAGCCTTCCTCCTTGAGAGCCTTGCAGGCTTGGGTGCCGGAGTAATCGAACTCGCAGGCCTGGCCGATGACAATGGGGCCGGCGCCGAGTATCATGATCTTCTTCAAGTCGGTCCTCTTGGCTAATTTGGCCGGCGGCGCGGCGTCGCGGGGCAGCTGGGCGTCGGCCGAGGAGGCGGAGGCGGAGGCGGCGCCGGCGCGCTTGGTGAGTTTCCGGAGAGGCGGGAGGAGGGGCGGGGGGGCGGGCCATAGCTTGGAGAGGAGCTTGGGAGAGGAGAGAGGGTTGATCTTGGAGATGGGGGACAAATCCTTGGGGGAGTAGAAGAAGAAGAAGCGGAACTGGGGAGTTCTGGAAGAAGAAGAAGAAGGAGATAAAGAGGAGGAGGAGGAGGAGGAGGAAGATGATGAAGATGGAAGAGGAGGGAAGAGAGATTTGGAGGAGAGGTGGTCGCAGCGGTTCATGCAAAAACCCATTTTTTTTTGCGCTGGATGACTAGATGAGGAAGGAAGATGAGCAAACGACCCCTCGAAAATGGAGATATGGAAGAGGCGGGAGGAGCCGGGTCTCTGTGTCTCTCTGTAGGTTCGGCTTGTAAGTGGGAAGTGTGTGTGCGCTTTTATGCAGGCGTGCTTGTCTGAGCCTCTGTAACGACGTTTAAAAACATGCCAAAAGACACACACATCCCATAAAACAAACCAAAAAACAAAAAAAAACAGAGAGGCAGAAGTTCAAGAAGGGAGAAAGGAAGAAAGGAAGGGGAGAGGGGGGGGGGGGTTAGGGTTTATGTGTAGAGATGCGGGCCGGGCTTTGTGTTCATTCTGTTCTGTATTTGGCAATTCTCTTGATTTGGAGTCCAACTTCATGGTATCCGTTTCGTACCCCCCATACCCCTTCCATCCAATTTGTCTCCATCATCTGATTAACTTTAATCATTACGAATTTATCTCTCTCTTCTTTTTTCTAACTTTTTCGTTCTTCAATCAATTTGGTTTTTCTCGGTTAGCGCGATTTCCTTTTTTATTGCAATGAAATTTATTCTGTAAAATAAACTATATAGCAAAACAAGCCGTGGTTCCATCTACCGATGATTTTTTATTTTAAGTCTCCTCAATTCTAACTTTTTCGTATCGCTTCCATTTTAAGTTAAGCTACATGAGAATAAGTTGAATCCAAATCACGATAAAACAAACTCTTTTCATTTTTTATCGACTATGAATTAAAAAGAAAGGTGAAATTCAGAAGCAAGAAAAACCGAATTTACTTCTAGAATGAAAAACGCATTTTCATAACTTTGAAAGGGAATCAATCAAATGTAATAAAGTAGGAAACTTTATTATAGCCAAAAGGATCGCAATATCTCTCAACGCTCTAATCTTATATTTTTAACCCTTTTCAGGGCCAGCGAAAAAACAAGAGAGACGAGTTATACCTCAACCCACAGAGGCACAAGGAACACAGCGAGCGGTGCAGAACACAGTTTCGAGAGCTTTGGTGTCGTGGCAAATCATCTTTCTCAGATAGAGAGAGAGAGAGAGAGAGAGAGAGAGGCGCATCTGCGAATCAAATATCGATCGCGGCTGAAATTTCTACGGTAGCAGCAGCTGCTTAAATGGCATCAGCCCTCGTCGCAAGGACCTTTCTTACTCATCGCCTCACTCCCTCCTCACTCCCTCCCGCTTTCAAGGCTCCGGTTTGCGCCTCCCTTTTCACCGTAAGCTCATGTCTCGTACTGGGTTTTGGATTCTCACAGCACCTTCGTCGTCAAGTTCCGGTTTTTAATTCCATCGGTGGTTTTTTAGTTCCTCTTCCCCACTGGGTTGGTGGTCGTATTCGCGGGGAGGAGGGTCTCAAGTTTTTCTGTTCGATTGCTATTTGGATCTCGTCCTCAAAAACATCACGTAGTTGTAGTCGGCGGTAATTTGTGTATTTGGGTCCTGGAGATGCTCAAACATGCGTGTCTTTGGCCCTTATGATCGGAACATTCTCATGTGCCAAAATTTCTCTATAATTCTGTCAAGTGAATCGTTTCGGAATCAAGATTTTGTTGAATTTGTCCCTTCTGATAACCGAGTTAGAGGGTGGAGACCCCTGCATTTTCGAATCACTGGACTAGGCCTTCTTGGTTGACGAGATTTATGAATTAATTTGGATGATTGGTTTCTCATGCAAGGTTCAGTTGTTTTTGGTTGTCATTATATGCGATAGTTGCTTATTTTTGTGTGCTCCTTTCTCTATTGCATGCAGAAGAGAACTTATTCCGCGTCACGTGGCTCGAGGTTTGCAGCTCAACGATCTTGTCGAACTTTTCATCCTATGGCTTCTGCAGTTTTCCAAACGAGAGCGAACTATACTGCACAATCCGTGTCTACAAGTGAACCTGTTGTTTCAGTTGATTGGCTCCATGCAAATCTCAGAGAGCCGAACATGAAGGTATCGGCTTTAGCCTGCTACCGGTGGCTTTTTTCCCCATGTCTGTCTGAAATAACTCATTGTCTTTACCCTAGAAAATTTAGCTATGCTGCACGCCTGTTTCTGCTTCACCTTCGGTGTGGCACACTGTTACTAGTTATCCATCCACGTCTTACCATGTTCACTATACAACTATTGAGTTGCTCAAGAAGATTTGGCATTTTTGCTGATACAAGCGGCACCGTGAGTAATTTCACCTCTGCTAGGGGCTGGAAGAGATGTAGATGAGGGGAAATGTTCATTTTAATCTGTGACTTTAGAACAATAGCTCCAGTGTGGTCCGTCCTATATCTTAGTTTCAAGTTACATGTTGATCTTGTGCGGTGGCTATCCTTCCTCCTGTTTAGTGCCGTAAGAAACCTACATTCATTTAAAAGCTCATTGAGGTATATGCTTAAGAACGTTGAGAACTTTGCTTAGTTATTATACCTTTGACAGGTGTTGGATGCATCATGGTATATGCCAGATGAGCAACGGAATCCAATTCAGGAGTACCAGGTGCCAAATTGAGTGTGTCGTACTTTAATTTGGGCTCTGCTGAGTCCTGCATGATTGCCATATGTTCAATTGGTGTCTTTTATTGAACTTGATTTGAATGATCTACTATGTTCAGGTTGCTCACATTCCTGGAGCTCTTTTCTTTGACGTGGATGGAATATCAGATCGAACTACAAATGTGAGATTGTTTTCTTAAGCTTTTGAAGTATTCTGATCACTTCTATATGCATTTTTGCATCACCTTCTTAAGCACTATGAATTGATAGACATATGTGGTCTTATGTGAGATGAATATCCTACTCTTTCGTTCATCCTGTCCTTCAGCCTCAGTAGCACTTCTGTATATATAATGAAAGCTATTGCAGAGGGAGCAATCTCAGCTTTACAACACTTTTTAGTCATTTCGCTTGGTTGGCTATTTTAGAGTTTTTCTCTCTCATGCATTTGTGATCTCGTCACTATCTTTGCATCCACTCAGTCTCTTCTTTATATCATCATTTCATTTGTGACTTCTTCTCATTTAAGAACCATTATTTTTCAATCCAAAAAGAATATTTAAGATGTTCAAGACAAGTAGATATCTTGAGATATAAGGAAGAATTTCTGAACTATCTCTGTAAAAGATATATTTTTACTGTATGAAATATATATTATACTCGTTTACATGTTAATTTCTCTAAAGATTATAAAGTAATTGATATTTATATTTTACTCACATATTGTACAAAGCACGGGCGCGTGCCTAGTTTGTCAATGATGCAACTATCTGGCCAGGTTTATCTGAAGATGAGTACATCTGCATAACAGGACTGCAGTTGCTCAAATTTGCATGGTTTAATTTGCAATCTGAGCTAGGGCTTCCAGTTTGCTATTCCTCAAAAGCTCTTAGCTGAGTGAGAATGACAGTGCATGGGAGTTTTTTCTGTCAATTCGTCTTTATTGTTAAGCTCTCTTTCAGTCCAGACTGCATAGACAGACTGGCGAAGTTCATTTACTTCTTTCCATTACTTTCTAAAGCTTTTATCAATTGTAAAAGTGAGAAGTTTGTAATATAAGGCCATTTAATAACCTTTGTCGTGTACTCTTCTGCACCTCTTAGCACATTAAGAAGTAGCTAGGATATCCTTTCGTGTGTTATCTTTTCCTTAATTCTTGTCAAGCATGTTGACCCCATTGAGCAATGACGATTACAGTCCATTACTTTTTAATATTTATTGTTCTCTGTGTATTTTGTTTGAATCTCTGTTTATTACCACATCTTATTTATCGGTTATTCATGACTATTATCTGCTAACTGGCGATTTATGGTGACTCGTCGTTGTAGCTGCCACACATGCTGCCCTCAGAGCAAGCTTTTGCTGCTGCTGTCTCTTCTCTTGGAATTCAAAACAAGGATGGGGTGGTTGTCTACGATGGAAAAGGGATTTTTAGTGCAGCTCGTGTCTGGTGGTGAGTACAGGTTGATGATTGGTTTATAAGTGATTTTGTGTTTTTCTTCAGATAATGATCTGTTTCATCAATGTACTTTGAAAAGGATGTTCCGAGTGTTTGGGCATGATAGAGTCTGGGTGTTGGATGGAGGTCTACCAAGATGGCGAGCTTCAGGTTACGATGTTGAATCAAGTGCTTCGAGTGATGCTATTTTAAAAGCAAGTGCTGCCAGCGAGGCAATAGAGAAAGTGTATCAGGGACAGGCAGTAAGTGGACTGGATCTGCTTTGCAACTTTTTTCGACTATGACATTGAGGCTCGGTTTTTTCTATGCAAAGCACAATTTATCTTCTTTTATTTTGACAACATCACCTTAGGGAGAAAAAGACAAGCTTAGGAGGGTGATCTATACTACTAGTTTTAGGGGGCAAAGAATACTTGACATGCTTGATTGGAGCATGTGTTTGTGATGTTTGCATATAGAAGTCGGCTCATTTTCTGAATTATTAATTGGTTATGTAGAATTCAATAGTTCAACCTGTTTGCTTTTACTCTGAAAGTTGGATTATCTTCATTGACTTATCTTGCATGGACAGATGGTGAAATTTGTTATAGCTGGTGGTTGTTTATCCTCTCTGATCTACCCAATCTTCAAGTTGTCTTTTGAGTGTTCAACTTTAATTCTTGCTTCCTTTGAGCTGTACTAAGGGCCCGTTTGGTTTAACTTTTCAAATGCTACTTGGGGAAATGCAAATACCTTTAGGTTAAAGTCCCTTGGGGAAATGCAAGTGGCGTTTCGTAAAAAAATCATTTGTAAAGCTACTTTGACCCAAGTAGTGTTTGGTAAATTTTTTTTTGCAAAAGGGCTTTGGGAATTATCTTTTTTATTAAAAAAAAAAACCTATCCTACCCTTCGCCGGAGCCAGCGAAGGCCTACGGCAGCCGGCGAGCTAGTTCTGGCGCCGGCGGCCGTCGCCCGAGGTCGGGTGACCCCTGGCGAGCTAGATCTGCCGCCGGGAGTCGTCGCTCGAGGCCAGGCGACCCTCGGCGAGGGTCGCTCGACCCAGGCGGCCGTCGCCTGAGGTCGCACGACCCAGGCGACGGTCGCCTGAGGTCGCGCGACCTAGGCAACGGCCGCCTGAGGTTGAGCGACCTAGGCCAGCGACGCCTAGGCGGTCGCGGGACCTCAAGCGGCCGTCGCCTGGGTCGTGCGACCTCGCCGGCCCGATCCGGTGTCGGCCGCCCTCACCGGCCACCTCACAAAGAAGATGAACAGTACCAAGAGGGGCAAAACCGGAATAAGCCAAAATAAGTGAGGGTAGTTTGGGAACAAAAAATTTGGGTTCAGCATTTGTGGAATGTCGAAAGCCCAAAGCTGGTCCGGACCAGCTTTGGGCTTTCAGCATTCCAAATGCTAGCATTTGGCTAATGCTAGGCCGAATGCTGAACCAAACGGTTCAGCATTTTGGGAAGGGGCTTTCGAGGCCGAAAGCCCATTCCCGAAGCTAAACCAAACGAGGCCTAAGTACTAGCATTCTAGCTTGTGCAGTTAAAAAATTAGTCTAATTCCTATTCTACCAAACTACTATGTTGATACCTGAAATTAGAATTGCTTGAGAGGAATTGTTCGACAGAGAGCTAGTTTACTGATGTCATGTCCCTTGAATATGAATTTTTGACATCTTTTCCAGTCTATATTTTTTGGAGAATATGGAACTCGTCTTTTTGTTGTCTTCTTATTTTCATGCACTGAAGTTATTCACGTTTTCTTTTTCTTCATTGATCTCTGATTTGTAGGTTGGGCCAATCACATTTGAGACCAAATTTCAGCCACATCTTGTCTGGACACTTGATCAGGTTAGATTTCGTTAAGTTTTTTTATTCATGTCTTACAGTTATTAAGAAGTTAGATGTTTTGTTACCCTCTTATCTTTTTCCTATTCTGAATTGCAGGTGAAAGGAAACATTGAGGAGAAGAGTCACCAACACATTGATGCCAGATCAAAGGCCAGGTACAATTCATTCACACCTAACTAAAGCTTTTTGCACTTTTACTTGTGTTCTTTCATTTGAGTATCAGATTTTTACCTCTGTCTTGGTGCTGACATAAGCAGTTGGCTAGACAATGTAAACTTGTTCTCACATAGTGATCATGCCATAATACTGTAAGGGAAATGCTGAACTTAAATGGATCATTGGCATTAGATTTTTTTTTTTTTTCCGATTTCTCTAACAGCAAAAGATCATTTTGTTATCATAAAAAACTTGAGTATCTAGCCACTCCTGCGCTTGAAAAAGGTGTTCCTTTGGGTTGATTGAGGTAATATACTTTAGGAATCTTATTGTTTTCCTACTGTTATTCTTGAATAATTTTATGAAACTTCTAGGAGCCAATTTGAGCAGGTTTAGCCTGCCATGTCAAGTAATGGTCCCTCTAAAGTCTTGTCACAAAGTCAGTGCCTAACTTGGAACTTTTGGTCCAAACTTTTGCCTTTGGGTTCTGACTTCCAAATTGAACTAGGAATTTAATGCCCATGGAATCATGTCAGTGAAAAGGTTAAAGCACAACATGAATTTCTAGCTACATTCCGCTAACTTGTAGCTTGCTCTTTGCCATGGCTATATCTTTAATACGAAGAGGAAGACTACAGCTTAGATCATCTTTGCTTAATTACAAGTACGACAATAACGGAGTACAGTTTCCAAGTTTGTAGATTGTAGAGAGGTAGCCACCACATAATGAAAGCAAAACAGTCACAATCAAAGCCACCACTGCCAAAAGCATTATTGCAGCCTGCTGTAGTTTTCAAGAGATATATTATTATCCAAGTGCACCTTCTTGTAGTAATTAATTTAGCCCTTACGAATTTCATGAAGCTAATATATTCTTGTAGATTTGAAGGTTCTGTGCCAGAGCCTCGAAAGGGAATTCGGAGCGGCCATGTACCTGGAAGCAAATGTGTTCCTTTTGCACAGGTAATGATCTAATCTGAAGTGTTACTTTTCTCGCTAATGACCCTGAAGATGCATAAGAGTTCTTTGAAATGTAGGTTTACATCATGATTTTGCTTGGACTTTGCAGTCTATATTTGGTTTTTGCATGAGGTTTTGAGTATGACTTTTGAGTTTGTAGTTATAATGCAAGCAATGTCCTCGTGTCATATCCCTGTATGATGCAGTGCATGTTTGTTCTTTTCTATATTTTCTGGGTGGTTCTGGGGATCAAAGTTGGAATTAATGTTGAATGTAAGCAGAAGATAACATTAATATGATGGATTACTTTCCTACGCCAAGTCATGATGCTTGACTTCTTTGTGCCCCGTCACAGATGTTGGATTCTTCGCAGACATTGTTGCCGCCTGACGAGCTTAAGAAGAGATTTGATGAAGAAGGTATACCTTTCTCCTTGCATATGTACTTCAACTTTTTTGTTTCCGAGCCTTGTTTCAATTAACTTAAATCAGAGGCGCATTCAATGATTAGCACCTACAAACCATTTTTGTTAATAGTCGCTTTCCTCCAACTTGATCTTCTTAATTCTCTAGAGTTCTGGCTCCTGAAAGGCAAAAAGTTTAGTAAACAGATAACCTTTACCTACCTATTCTTATTCTCAGTTTGGAAACTATGTCACACAATTCGATGTAATCTCAATAGTCAATATTCCAAAGTGACAATGCTAGAAGATTTGAACGTGTTTCGTAGGAAATTAAGATTTGCAGTGATCCGTCTCACATAAGTCTCTGCAGGTATCTCTTTGGAAAGTCCCGTCGTAACTTCCTGCGGTACTGGCGTTACAGCTTGCATTCTTGCATTGGTACGTTCTCCCTTCCTAAATGGTACTTTTAGGCCTTTTGTTGAGGTGACACAAATCCTCCAATTAGTCTTTTCGACAGAACATAAGGACCATAATGAGTGAATACACGAGGAAAGTGCTGGTCATATTTGTTTCTTTTCTTTAGGGACTCCATCGTCTTGGGAAGCATGACGTTGCTGTTTATGATGGATCATGGACCGAATGGGGCGCCGAATCTGACACTCCTGTCAACAAATCATAAGAAAAAAGACCACTTCCAAGCGATACATGCTACAGAATCTCTCAGTATGAGGTCTACATTTTGGCTGCTTGATTGTGACAAGAGAGATTGTACCAAGTAAAATGTGGTTTTATGTTTCCCTTTGTCAATTGCAATTTGTCTTTAACAGGGGCAATTGTGTACGTGAATAAAGGAAATTAGTGCAAAGTATGAGTTGGATTTCTTACAAAGGAAAAAAAATCAAAATCGTTGACGATATCTGGCATGTGAGCACACATTGGTAAAGACTTACCTCGTTAGCCTTTTGTATATGGATGCGGTTCTCTGGAAAGGCATATCTGAAAAGGTGTTACCCACGGGAAGATGACCGATGCCAATATGACTTTGAACGTTATTCATGCATCTATGCTTACTTCGGATTCTGGAGTATAGCTTTGCAACTGCCTTCGCTTTTCGTCCTCGGCTTAGGCATCATGACGGTTAAAAATATTTATATAATCTGTTGAAAAAAATATCCATCCAACCGGTATAATTGGACAAGTATATTAGATTGCTGTATCATTAGTCAGTTGGGGACTCCATTTGCATGTTCCTCATGAGGTTCAAAGAATTTAACAAATGCTTCAATGGCGTAACGACACATCGAACGAGAGTGGCTAAGGCAAGGGCCCATCCAATTTCATCTAGACAGATGAGATTTGTGACGAGAGAGAAGCATGTAATATTCTGTATATTATCAAATAAAGAACACACGACCCCTTTATATATATAATGAAAATAAAATTCGACTTAAGCACAATAAATATAAATGATAATTAACTTAACCCTAAATAGTATTCCTAACATAATCTAATAGAGACCATACTGTTGCATCACAGTTTACTTAAATGAAACCTTTTTTTTTTTCTCAATTCATGCCTAAAAGGTATATTCAACACCCTCCGCCGCCGCCTCCACCGTAGCCACCCCCTCCGCCACAACCGCCGCCTCCGCCGCAGCCGCCGCCTCCTCCATGGTGCTCTCCGCAATGCTGGTGGCTGTCACTGCTGCCGCCGTCATTGCTGCCACCTCCGGAGTAGCCGGCCTCGACTCCATAGTAGCCAGCGTCGCCTCCATAGTTGCCGCCAACTTGGCCCTCCCTCTTCTTCTTCTTGTGCTGAGGCCTGGACGAGTCATCGCTGCAGGAAAAAATGATTGCCGACACAACAATCAAGCACGACAGCACGAAGATCACGGCGGCACATGGTGAGGCGACCCACTCTCTTGCCATTGATTTCCTCGCTATCTCGTGGAGAGAACAGAGGCAAGAACTCAAGTATTGAGGGTATCAGGAGCATTAGTAGGAAGGAGAAGATGATGTTCTGGAGGTGAGGGACCTTCATTTAAATAAGGAAAATGAGAAGAGGATCGCACCGTCAATCTCAAAAATTGACGGATGGATTTCAAGCTTTCTTCTTTTGGTCTGCAGATTTCAAAGCTTTCAACCACACAATTATTCCACACGAACCCGACAACTTGTTTATCCGGTTGTGAAGAAGATTGTGTTATTTTTATTTGCGATTATTGATCTCGAAACTTTGTAATTCTAATGGATGATATTTTATGACTCGAATTATACATTACCGACACGAGAGATTTATGATGATCCCCATATAAAGTATTCGTGCTAGCCCCCGTTCTCAATCTTAAAACAAGTATCCCCTTCGAAAAATGTGCTCTTTCTTTGATATAATAGTTATATCTTATTAGGTTCAAATTAACTTACAATTCGTGTCGACTATGTAAGGTGTAAACAAAAGAAAAGGCAAAAAAGAAAGATGTGAAACCAAAGATTTGCTTGTATTTCATATAGTTATAATAGAAAATTTTCGACAAAAATATTGACCTATGATTTCCTTTCCATAAATCTTTAGAAACTTACATGATGTTTAGATTCGACTGGAAAAGTGAAAAAAAGTTACCATTTGACTTTTGATAGATCTAGAGGAGCAACCCTAATTCAAATTATCATGTAAAAAATTCACTAACATGATATAAATTAGTGCAATTTGCATCACCAAATCAAAGACACCCCACAAGACATGGCATGCACCTTATTTTTGTTGACAGATCATGTGCATCATGCGTTGTCTCTTACTTAGCTTCCTTCCATTGTTGAATTCATTAAGGTCAGCAAATTTTTTACAGGAACATACAAATTTAGATTCCTCCACAGGTCCAACCGGTTGCCATGGGAAATTTGTGGTCAATAGGGTTGACATTAACTACTGGTGAAGGTTCTGGGAAGTTGCTTCGGATGAAACTTGAAATTCTTTATTAAAGCAAAACAGATGAATTTTGCCAAGATGGGAATAGATGGACGGCTACGTACAGATAGATCACAACCAAACCATGCCTTAATTAGACACAAATTCTATGTAGTAATTAATGTCTAACCCTAGCGCTCGTGCACTCAGCTGAAGTTATCTCTTTCCTCGAAGGTGCCGAGGTGTCTGGAACTCAACTCCGAACTGTTTGAGTTTTAGTTTTGTCATTGGAGTCCGCAGATCAATCCGGCTGCGAAGAGCGTGCGCTTATCTCTGGAAGCTCGATACCTTTTACCCTCTTTTTGTGATCCAAGAATAGACCGTTGTAGTAGTGAGAGCGAAACAGAGAAGTGGATTGGGTCAAGCCCGACAAGTCGATTCTCTTCCACGAAATCGGCTAGTTCAAGACCTTAAGCCCCTTAAGGACCTCTTATGTTTAGATGCCCCGCCACTTTTATGAGCCCTTTTGTCTAAGACTTAATTAAATTAAGATAGCTTTGCTTAGACAAAAAAAAAAAAAAAGGAACTCGTTTCCCATCAACTAACTAAGCTAGCAAACCTTAGACCCACTACGAACACCAATATTAGAAAACCTGTTGATTAGACAAACGTAAGAACCCAAATTGATATCAATACTGATAAATATCTTCAAAGTTAGCCGCCACATCCTCCGGCGCTGCAGTTGTCGCCGCTGCCACTATCCCCAGTAAAACCACCATTACCTGAGCAAAAACAGCCATCTTCAGCAAGATTGCCGACGACATAGATGGAGAGCTAAGATTAATACTCTTTTAGGGAAGCGGATCTTCTACCCCTGCGATGCTTCTATGGGCATCTCAATAAATCCTAGCCATTGACTTGATAAAAACGCGCTCGTCATGAAAGATTGAGATTTATCGAGACACCGAGATAAACATCATGCAGGATAGAGGGTCCCCGGCATATTTTCACGCCTTCTACCTAACTTTGAACATTACAAGCAAGTTGCCTTGACTTTCCATCTCAAAGAAATATGTTATCGTTTGAAAGTTCGTCTTGACTCTCGCAAATTACTAATGATGTTACAATCCCTAATATCATTAGTAAGTAAAATTGATTGGCAACTTTCTTGTCCGGTCAACTATTTGTAACTTACCAGCAAAATAGGGATTTTATTATTCTCAAATCTGGTATCCAATAATAGATTTTTCTCAGCCAATAGTATCCAATAGTAAATTAACAAGTGCTTTTATATTTGAGAACCGGGCTCTTCAATTAGTTAGTAATGGTCTTACCATCTCTTTCACAAGTAGATTAGTACGTGTTTTACAATATCGCAAGTGGACCCCAGCAATTAATTAGTAACTTATCGATAAATTAACAATTAACTATTTTACCGTCCTTAACAGTTTTATGGCACTTGGTATTATTACCAAAAACTACTTGATGGGCCCAAATATAAAATTAATTAGTAACTTATCGATAAATTAACAATTTTATAATAATCTTGGATCGTAATTTCAACTGTCAAGTTTTATTTTACGAGATAAGCATTGGCTCCACAAAATAAAGAGTTGTGGGAAATCTAGAGAATGGTTGCTGGATACCATAAAAGGACAAATCTACCATGGTGGAGTGGGCACAAAAGACATGCATATGCTTTTTGATAATCTATCCTGAAATTTACCGCTTCAAATTTCAGCAGTAATTATTTTAGGGAAAAAACCACCAAAAATCCCAAACTTTACCATTTGTGACACATTTACCCCGAATTTTTTTTTGTAACACCAAAAACCCCGAACTTTGCTTTTTGTGACACATTTACCCCAATGTATTTAGTCCATGGGCATTTTCGTCTTTTTTGCTTTTTCTTTTTTTTTCCTTTCCGGCGAGGGGGGCCTCGCTGGATCCGGCGAGGGGGGCCCTCGCCGGCGTCCGAGCGAGGGTGGCCCTCGCCGGCGTCGAGCGAGGGCGGCCCTCGCCGCGCTCGGCGAGGTTCGCCTCCCGCTGGATGAGCGAGGCGGCCCTCGCCCGACTCCAGCGAGGTCGACCTTCGCCGGCGTCGGGCGAGGGTCGACCTCGCTCGAGCTCCGGGCGAGGGCCGCCCTCGCTCGCCCGAGCGAGGCGACCCTCGCCGGCTAGCCGAGCGAGGTCCGCCTCACTGGGCGAGCGAGGCGGCCCTCGCCCGATCCGCGAGGTCGACCCTCGCCGCCGAGCGAGGGCGGCCCTCGCGGATCCGGCGAGGCGGCCTCGCCGGCTCGGCGAGTCGCCTCGCTCGGGCGAGCGAGGCGGCCCTCGCCGCTGTCGGGCGAGGGTCGCCACTCGCCCGGGCGAGCGAGGCGGCCTCGCCCGACGCGGCGAGGGCCGCCCTCTCCCGATCTGGCGAGGGCCGCCCGACGCCGGCGAGGGTCGACCTCGCCGGATCGGGCGAGGGCCGCCTCGCTCGCCCGTGCGAGGGCGTACCTCGCCCGACGCCGGCGAGGTCGCCGCCGCCGGCGAGGGCGAACCTCGCCCAACGCCGGCGAGGGCCGCCTCACCGGATGCGGCGAGGGCCGCCCTCGCTCGACGCCGCCGCGAGGGCCCCCTCACCGGATGCGGCGATGGGCGCCCCTCGCCGACGCCGGCGAGGGCCCCCTCACGGAAGGAAAAAAAAAAAAAAAAAAAAAGAAAAAGCAAAAAGACGAAAATGCCCATGGACTAAATACATTGGGGTAAATGTGTCACAAAAAGCAAAGTTCGGGGTTTTTGGTGTCACAAAAAAAAGTTCGGGGTAAATGTGTCACAGATGACAAAGTTTGGGGTTTTTGGTGGTTTTTTCTCATTATTTTAAATACAAACAAAAAGAGACTTAAGAAAGAAAGAGAGGGGAAGAGAAACGGAAGTCCACAAGGATTTTATTTAGCCTCATTAAAAAAAATTAAA